TTCACACTAAATTAAATAATTACCTCGTCATTCACATTATATACAATTAAGCAATAATTATATAATTCGATAATTACAGACGGCTATTTATAGACCAGCTGTAACATGAAAACAATATAAAATTACTGCATGCAAATTGAATTACAGAATATCATTGACTTTAAATATTGAATGTTTTCGCAAGTTATTAAACATGGTTCATTGTATTACTGTTTGAGTTATGGAAAAGTATTGGGAACGAGGTTGCGTGACTATTCGCGTGAAAACGTGTTGGTATATCTCTCCGGTACGTCATTCGCATAATGAAACTAGACGACAAAGTGCTTGATTGAGGTTGTATGACGTATACATCAATGATGATTTTTTAATTTCAAGAAAACCACATAAAAACATCCTTCCGATGGTTCGTATTTTCTGTTCTGTATCACAAAGATATTTCCTCTTGTGAGATATGTTGACTTAATTTACTCCACGAGTTTGTTCATATTATCGTCACAAGTATTTGTTTTCGGTCTTTTTGTTAAAATTTTGATTTTATGTTTCCACCCTCATTCGTGGATGGACCCGGCTAATGTTCTACTTTGTCTTTCATGAAACTTTGATATGGTAAAACGCCCGTACTCTTTATAGGTCTTGAAATAGATTTTGGGCAAGTTTTGAGATTTTTGAGATATTTTTATCTTATCTTGGATCAATTGGAGTATATATATATATATATATATATATATATATATATATATATATATATATATATATATATATATATATATATATATATATATATATATATATATATATATATATATATATATATATATATATATATATATATATATATATATATATATATATATATATATATATATATATATATATATATACGCTAGTCCCTATAAGTTAGCGCTCTGTGAGAACTCCATGGCCTCATCCCTGCATGGCCTTTAATTATGTTCGTATATATTTAGAAATTAATTCTGCATATAATTGGAAAGAGATTGGTTAAAAGCTTCAATCGATTCCATTCCCATTTAATACTTTCAAATTTTAACAAAAAATCATGAAGCGAAAAATTTATTTTTTTAAATATGAATAATTATCTTCGGTTATCATCTTAAATGAGAGTGATTGCATATGAAGTGCACTTAGAGCTATCGTTGGACTGCCCTCTCAAAGTCAGTGCTACCATATATAGTCATGTATTGTGTGTCCCATTTCGCCGGACGTTGTTCGTTGCCAAGTGTTTGAAGTGTTCGTGAAGCGCATTGAACGGAACGCTAATTCTAAAGCGCGCAGGAAGTTGCATAAAGGTTGAAATATAAGCAAACCTCAGCAAAACCTGCACAGTTTCCGCATTATTAATTAGAATAAAGGCGAGGTTGTGTAACCTCCCTCTGTATACCATTAACTGCCTAACTTCGGTATAACTCGGTATAATATATTTTACTTCCGCTACACTGGCTTAGTACGCATCTGATTGGTTAATCGGATATATCAAACGCATCTGATTGGTTAATGCATGGTAGCTTAATGGTATAGCGGTAGTGGAAGTCAAATCTGAACCTCTATATTATAGCAAATAGCTCCTGCAAGTTATTCCCTGCATATAAACTCCCTTACTGATATATGAGCCCACCCCCATTATATTATAATTATCCTGTGGTATTTTGGGCAACGCAGTTTTTCAGAAAAATATATCGATGGGGGATGTAAATTGTTTTGCGACCTGCAATGCGATTATATCGATACATGAAATAATACTTGCAACTTGCAATGCAACTGATAACATTCAGGTTTGATAGGTCGTCAGACGTTCATTAAGCTATATTGAACAACCTTATAGAAACCACGTCTTTGTTCTTGAATCGTTTTCGGTGTATATAAATTCAGTTATTCGTAAGTAAAATATGGAAAGAAAAGGGTGTTGTGAACCCTTCACTTTTCCTGGAGATAAAATATAAAGATGTTGCACAACTGCATGAGAAAGGAAAAAGATAATTGGTTAAGTATTGTGTCAAAATAAGTTATTTCGAAGTTTTTCTACAAACGGGCAAAGGCCAATATATTTAAGTACTTATCAGCAATCATCAGCATCACTATCTTGTTTTAATTATGTATTTATGCACGTCTTATCTCTAACCTCTAATGTTTTAAAACAGTCTTTAAAAGTTGGCATTAAAAGCCCGTGAGAAAATTTTGAAATCTATTAAAACTGGCAGACACTTAATTTATATCTATATATTTAGTGCACTCTCATTAAAGTAATCAGATCTTAGACGGCATGCACATGATGTTGCAATTAAAACAGTTTTCATAAAAGAGCTTAGCTATATATACGTCTTGTTTTAATAATAGGTTTGAACATCTGCGAACCCGATAATTATATTAATCAAAATATGGGTAGCAAGTATGCTGCTCCCTATACTGCTGAATTATATGCCTGCTACTGAAGATGGAGAAAATCGTGGGATTTTACTGCACCATCACGCGAGGTTTTGCTATTCCACGCGAGATTTCCATTATTTTATAAATCTCGCGCGAATCGGCGATGGGCGGTAAAATCACACGATTTGCGGAATTTGTGATCCATGTATTGTTACTTGATGACTTTGATGGTTGACTACCCTATATTCGATTTGATTTTTTTAAAACTCATGGAAGTAGAGTTTGTGATTGATTTTCTCCTGTACTTCGAAGGTTTTTCACTAACCCACCCGGCAGCCACAGGCGCCCTTGGGAGGCTTCGACTCGATCACCTTTGAGCTGCGTCCTTCACAAGGAATGATGGTTATCACTTGCCAAGTTCATCTTTGCCGATATGTATACTCCCGCATGTGTTCAATTGTGGATAAACACAATTGCATATATACGTCAAACGCCAAAACTTAAACGCCAGAACTCGGGTCAACATTTGCAAAACGCATCAATCAGTGTTAAAGTTGACTTACGTAGTTGTTTAGTGCACATATCTGAATCCTGTACTTCCTGACCTGTAATATTTTATACCTCAAAGTTCATTGCAACGCGTGCCGAACATGCATGACTCCTGCCTTTATACAAAACTCGAAATTGCAAAAGCTCAACCTCTAACCGTGAAAAACACAATGGACGTGTATACATTATTTAATCGAATATGAATGAGGGCATGGGAATACAACCTTCCAGAAAAAAGTACGTCATCTTGGCTATAGAGCCTCGTTTTCGTGGTTGAGACAGGCTTTAACTGATGTATTTTCCTGAAGGGCGTATTGTGTTTTGCAAAATGCTACGAACAAATAGAAGCATATAAATGTTTAATTTTGCGATTTTTCTAGAATCGGCTTATAAGTTAAAACAAACAAATTAACTTGCTTTATTACGACAAATTACAAGTAAGTGCCAGACAGATACAGCTAATTCCGTTGTCCAGAGAAAACCGCTAAATTTGACCTCTAAGCGCGAAAAGAATTATTATTATGGGATTGTTTATGCATACATGTCAGCACATTTATGCTAATCAAGTGAATTTAATTCCCAAAGGAGTCAAGCATATCACACAAACAACTTTCTTTTGCATTACAAAGTTCAAAAATCCAATGAATTCTGCCACGTTTGCTTTTGAATTGAGTTAGACGAGCAAATAAAATCCAAAAAAGAAAATCAACGGGAATGCCGATACCAAAACGGCTTGTGGGACGTAAATAAGTGTTTTGTAATGTTGTATAGTAAATAAATAAGTGTTTTGTTGTGTAGTATATAAGTGTCGAAATATGAATAATTCACCGGTTATTGGAGTGAACTTTGAAACCAAAACTAGATAAATGGAACGCCGTAAATGTTTAATAAAAAAAGTTTAATAAAATGAACTTTCGAAATTCACGGTTGACACTGCACCCATTCTATTATTGACCGGTCAATAATTGTTTCATTGTTGACCGGTTGCCCCCTCGCCAAAGCATGCAGTGAACATGACATGACGTTTTGTGGATCGGCACGTGATACACTTTTGACCAATCGGCAAACAGCAAAATTGAACTTTGACACTTACTCTATAACAAATTAAATTGTGTAGGGGGTTTCCTATTTCCCTCAACCTCTTCAAATTCACCTGTCACCAGAGAATAAAAATTTACGAAGGGATACTAGTTAATCGCAACCGACGGCTTAAGTTTTCGGTTTTGGTAGGTCACAAATCGGAATAAATCATGTAAACCAGTAATATTGAATCGAAATTCAGGGGCATTTTTACCTCTAAATTGTACATGTAAACCAACAATCATCTGCGGAAAATACAATCGTTCGTACAAAACAATTAAATACTACAATAATTCTTGCCAAAACGAAACAAACGTCGCCAAAAATGAAATTTTAACGGAGCGGCTGAATTTTAGGCTTTACCCTTCCAATTTCGAGGAATTCCTTAGATTCTGGAAAAACATCCTTAGTTTTAGTAAAAGTTCCTTTATCACGGATTCACGGTCTCACCAAAATTGTTTGGCTGAATGCCTATATAGGGTATGTAAACTGAACTTTAATTTTAGACATTTATTATAGTTTAAAAAAATGACATCTACATTGATGGGCTTTCATATGTTGATATTTCTTGTCATTATTTGTCAATATTCAATGCATTATATAAGTCCAGAAATTTCCTATGAAATTCCCTAAAAGTTTAATTGCCAAAGAAATTTTGCATTGTTATGGACCTCATACTGATTCTCTTTGAGTCCCATTTCTGACAAAGTTTCCATATTAAGTCTCACAATAATAAAACGACTTCATAAACAAACAAAAGGCAACAATCGTAATCTCAATCACGATCAATTTTTTTCAGATCACCGCATATGCAGTAGCCCACATTATGTTGCTGACATGCTACTTTGACGAATGTCAGAAGGATCAGATCGTCTGTTCCAAGTGCCCATGTGCATGCTGTCTGTTACTGTATTAGTTTTGTTTAAAATTCATTTTTGAAGATGCATGGTTTAGATTTCGTCTGGTTTCTGTTGGGTGTGCTGGTTAAATTATGTTTCTATTGTCCGATCCGAAGATTGTACTAGTTCTTCCAAGAATTCCTGTGCATGCTGGCCATTACTGCAATTTTGTTGCACAAATGATTTAATAAGTTGCCTGCTTTTGATTTCTTGTTCTCTCTTGATTTTCTCTTTGAAACTCTTCATCTTTTTTTCTTTCAGCTTCATCTCTACTTGACGCACCTGCTCCAGCAGTGTTGATGAGTCAGCGCACAACCAATCTATTGAACCTACAGTTTGCATGTATAAAATATGATAGGTGAGTTTTTGCTCCTCTCAAATAAGCCTCCCTTTTCAAATTCAGAGGAGGAAAATCAGGAAATTAAGTCGAAAGAAACATGTGTATTGATTTGATTTACGAGTTCGCATGGAAGTTTACGTTAGTCTTTTGCCTTTGCTTACATGCTGCAATTCGGCAAAATCCACTCTATAATAAGGCAAAATCCACTCTATAATAAGCCCTTTGGCTTCTGTCTCCATTACTGACCCCCACCCAAACCTAGTGCAATAAACAAGACCCCGTGGGACTCATAGAGGATTCACAGTATATTCATAAAAGTTATTTAGTGTCAGAAGCGTAATTTGGTGGCGGTGGAAATTTTTATTTTCATAAACTTTTCTGATCATATTATTTTTCATATCATATTATCTTAGTCATATTATTTTTTTATCAAAAATAGGTACGCTAAGCGTACATGTATCTGCGCTTACATGTAATTGCAAGTTTTTGGTGATGTAGTTATTTTAGTTAGTTGTTTTAGTTGGAGTTGTAACTATACCTCAAACAGTAGGTAGCCTATACCGTCAGCTTTAAAGTGACAACAAGTCTGTATATAAAAAGTGGGTGTGTTTTGCCGGTTTTGACGAGTGAGTGATCACGGGCGTAGTATGCAAAGAGTTAAGATGGTGACCTCACACCTTTCTTTAGAAAATAAGTCGCTATAGAACACAGGTTATTTTGTCTGTAAAATTTATTGAATATGGTTTCAGGCTTTCAAGAACTGAACTAGAGGCCGGTTTATAGTACAAGCGTGACAACAAGTGAATTCGTAGTCAGAGTACAGCCAATTTTTGAGCTACAGAATGTGAGAAAACGCCAATACGGCCTTTCGGCTATCGTTTCGTTTCTCAGTTTCGTTTCAAACTATGAAAAATTTTTGAAGATCGGACTAAAACTATTTCAAGTATCTTGATACAGGATCTCAAATTTGTTCAACATATATAGTTGTATCAAAACATCAACTCTTTGTACAACTGACATCTTGAATTATTTTGCTCATCGTGCAATTTGCAAAGACGTGCAACAAGCTTGTATTGTTTTTTTGGGAAACAGTAGCTTTGCAGGAACGTTTGTTTGTGTTTGCATGCAAAATTTCGTTCCAGCTTACCGATTGAAACATTCTCGAAATAAATACATGTGCTTTTTTCCACAAAACAAAACAGTTATATTCATTGTTACGCTTGTTCAAAGAAGATTGAACTTTGTTGTCTGCAATCAACAAAGAAAGTATATTCACACTGGTTACGTTTTTTAGATATCCTACTTAGGTTTAAGATTGTAATTTATAGTTGTTTGATTGTAATTTATAGTTGATTGTAATTTGGAAGCTGTTGTCTTGTAAAAATAATAAAATTTCTATGACTTTGAACTTACTTGCATCAGCAGCTGTAGCTCCAGGGCAAAGTGATTTTTTGCGTTCCTGATCTTTCTTTAAAACTTCTACTGCTTTTCCTTCCAGTTCACATCTTGCGTGTGGGTAATCCTCTAATACCTTCATTAAATATAGCTAGAGTTATCACGACTGATTTTCTATCAGTAAGAAACAAATTCTTGGATCAGGTTTTTGTAGTATTCGGAATTATTAAAGCCTATCAGGCCTAGCCAGGGAGTTACCAGAATACCAATATACTCGATAACATACCTGAAATTCCAGGCTGCATTAGGCTGGATTATCAGCCGTGATTTGGGGAAGGTGAGCTCATAACAAACAGACTTGCAGTGTGGCTCTTTTGGGATTGACGCACCAAGGGAGGCTGGATGTTTCCCGAACTCAACGAGCAAAGCGAGGTGATTTCGGGAAGCTGCCGGCCTTCCGAGGTGCGTCAATCCCGGACGAACCGCGCTGCAAGTATGTTTGGTTTTTATCCCATACTACACAATTAAATTTTATGCGAAGAAAATTTCAACTCAGTACCCACGTCTCACACTATATTTCGCAAGCATATACCTTTCTCGATTCTTAAAGATGTGCAAGCTCTTATGATCTACGTAATTCTCTATTTGCTTTTTCGTTTTTTAACGTCCTCTTAGTTTTCTGTTGCTTTTAAATATTTTAGATTTTGAAAAACCAAATGTGCATGCAGTTGAGTGGAAATTATTGCACCGTTGACGTCAACAATTGCAAATACGGACCCTATGACGTCATGCCATTAATACGATGTGGCTTTACGAACAAAAACAAACTGATTTCTCCTTTGGTCGCTTGCAGACTTTGAGAAAGCAGAATTTTGAAAATTAAAAAAATAAAGATGAATGAAAACCAAAAAAGCGACAAAAGGAAAGGTCCTGAAATATTTTTTGACAAATATTTCAAAGAAAGGAGCATGAATTTTCTGCAAGTGGCAAAAGGATTCGTTGTTATTTGGAAGAATTTTTACGCACAGAGGCATGTGAACATCCTTTACATCTTTTAAATAAATAATAAGACAATTATCCTTTACATCTTTTAAATAAATAATAAGACAATTACCGAATACGGTTTTCACCCAGAATATGAAAAATCATCAAGGCCTCTGTGTTTTTCATATTCTGCTCAACCTCATTCAATAATTGTCAATTGACTGGTCAGATTAAAATCTAGATGCACTAGAGAGATGCACTGTTTTCAGCTGTAGACTATTCATCTTAATTCGCAAACAATGAGAAGTACTAACCTCTTGAAGATCAATTTTGCTGAGCTTAAAAAGCTGTGAAAATCCAAGCGAATGTATGGATGCTGTTCGTCGATTTCCGACACCTTCAATATCAAGAATACTGATTTCTCCGAAATGATTTCCAGCAGATAGAGTAGTAACAATATGACCATCAACCTCCACCTGAAGTAATCCTTTATTCACGATATACATCTCATTTCCCACTTCCCCTTTCTGGCATACCTTGTCTCCAGGGCAACATTGCGTCAACTGTAATCGAATGACAAGATCACGTAGCAGTGATGGCTCACAGTCTTCAAATATTGCCACCTGCAGATTCAGAAAGCGGTTGCAAAAATTTTAAATGTTGCAAGATAATTACACTCTATATCGTGTTGGTAGAGTGTTCTCTGTGTTTATTCAGCTTAAGCCAATACTAGCCATGAATTTTCATGAGTAGCAATTGCTTTTGAGGTTAGAGAGGTGAATGGTGATAGACTAGTGTCTTAACCAGGAAGAATCGTTAACACTCATTGCCTTAGTTTTATTACGAAACTGATTTTTTATTTAACAACTTGGCCCCATTTCTAATCGATTACCTCATGAATGATGGGCAATGGAAAAAAGGGAAAAAAACAATAAGCTATCCATATACGCAACCCCTAAGCTCCCCTAAAGTTATTTTGTTCAAACGTTCTTACCTTCTTTAGTGTGTCCAGGTTAACATGAAGCAGAAGGTCAGCCTTGCATTTCTCTGGTAACCACTTGAATGTATCTTCATCGTGCAAGTCATTTTTCTCCATCCAAAGGTAATCAAACCATTTTATCACACGTTTTTGTAACTGTTCTGGAACATTGTGGGCGTGCATGTACAGTTTGATCTCATTTAGCTGAATCAAGAAGCAATGAATTAGTGGGAATCTGAGAATGAACAATGGCATAGAAAAGCAGGAATAAATATCTAATTACACGTGAAACTTTCATGTTCTTGTCAAGAGCTTCTAACGTGATTTAATCTGATGGCTGAGCCTATTGAAACTTCAATCTCGTTCCCCGAGCCTGCGATCCTCGGGAAGGAACGCGAGGCTCTGGGATAATCCGTTTCAGGGAGGAATCTGATTGGCCATTGAAATGAAATGCGTAGTTCAATCTTAGCCAGGATTCTTGGCTTCCGGTAACGGATTATCCCAGAGCCTTCGATTCCTTCCCGAGGATCGCAGGCTCGGGGAACGAGATTGATTGAAACTTATGCTCGTCATCCATAAGCGCCATTCAAACGAGTCCACCATCGTCCACTATTGTTGGTTCAACAACTTTTGGACGATGTTGGATAGTTGTTGGATAAAATTTTAAACCCAGGTTACCAAACAATCTACCGCTGTCCAAGGTAAGGCCTATTTCAGACGTCGAACTTTTCATGTGCCGAACCTAAAGGCGGATTTCCAGGAGCAGCTCGCTGCGAGTGCATGCATGAGCACTTTCATCCAATCACAATGCTAAACAGTTAATTTTAATTAGATGCAAGCACTCGCAGCGAGCTGCGAGGAGCTTCGTGCGAGGACTGGAAATCCGCCTTAATGCAAGTGAGCTCAAACGTGTTTTCATCATTTCCGCCCCATCTTGACAAGTGTCCTTGACAAGTTTACTTTCTATGGTATGGTCAACAAAGTTTCCCTTGACAAGTTTTGTTGTTCCTATGCACGGAATTGCACGGAATGTTGTTAAACATCCCTGGTTTATCTCACATCTTTTGTTTGCCAAAACCATAGAAGTTTTTTTGTAGTTTGAGCACTCGTCACGTTTTCCTTGGCGACCGTACACACGAACAAATTTTCCTTGTCGAAAAGCTGGCATGGCTAGCTTTGGAATAAGGACTCCTCGCGGCAGGGTAAAATTGTCAAATTTGGAACAGGCCTTATACGCTTGTGGCACACCACCAATACCAGATTAGTATATAATTTCAGTATAGAGCCTGGTTTTAACAACAAACCTTTGTATGAATCTCACATCTTTCCATGGTCATGCTCGTTATCATATCACATGCATTACCAACAATCAGTGCAAAGACAAGAACACCAGCCAAATACATAACAGTCACAAACAACATTGTCTGCGGGGTGTTAGGACTTGGTAAATTTCCAACGATTGTCATTGTGATACTGGATAAGTAAAAGCAGTAAAGATATTGCCGGGTAATCTGTAGGGAAAATATGTAGAATGATGTCAGAAGTTGAAAGATAAACCGAGGAGAGAATGAAATCGAAATGTATTTTTTCCCGCTCTCATTTCCTCTTACCCCAGCACCGCTAGAAATAATATGTTGGATAAGCTTCTACAAAAACCGAAAGTTTTAGATATTGAACTTTTTAAAGATAAAATCGCCTGATACATGATATTACGCTAGCTAGCATGAAAATGAACTGACGTTATGCTTTTGAGGTAAGCCAATCTATACAAATTTACTCTATTTTTATGTTATTGAGCACTGAAATTTTTTAATCAAAACACATGCACTTATATATTTGCACCCGTATAACGGTTGTTAGTCTTGATTTCGTAACCCGCACTTTAAAATGAAGCAATTTCGATTCGACTTTACACAACCACATTTGGGTCTATTTGAAAAATTTCATAAAAGAATGCCGAAAGTGGTATCAGACGCATGTGATGGAAAGCTTAATTTGTAATTCTACCAGAAATTGTTCCTTTTCTTGAAATTACTGAAAGGATTTACAACTTTCTTAGTTGACTAATGTATTTGCTAGCAATAGACCTTACCTATTATTCTCTTTTACCCTAAGGCCTCGTTTCCATGTTAATTAACATATTTTAGCATGTCGAAGGCAGATAAAGATTATATTCCCATGTTTTCCTGGACGAATTTGTTTCTTGCTGTTCTTAGACTCAATAACAAAGTAATTTTCAACCCTATATTCTTCTGTGCAGTGTGTTTTTTTATTAAAGTGTGTTTATCTTCAAACTTGGGTTAATAAACACACTTGTGAGTGTTAACAACTAAGTAACACGGTAGAAAAGGTGTGTTTTTCTGAAAGTCTGTTATCTAACACATTCACCTCCATCGCTGTGTATTAAGCACTGCACACTGTGTGTTATATAACGCACTCTGTGTGTTATTTAACTCACAAAGGTGTGTTACGTCGAAATCGTAAGAGTAAAATGTGTTGTATAACACACCTAACATGCTATATAACACGTTTTTGTGTGTTTTGTAGCACACCTATTTTTAAGAGTGTACTAAGCACAAAACATGAGTAAGTATTTGACATGAAAACGAGGCCATTGGGTAAAAGAGAATAATCGGTAAGGTCTATTGTTAAGAATAACATTTTATGACCTTACCTCGGCCCATTCTCCCTCGAGTACTGGATATACCCATGGTTCAGATCCATAACCCATACTTTTGGACACCAAGAAATAAGCACAGGCAACCCAATGGATAATCAAGAACACGTGATGTACCAACATAGCGAGATTGAACAGGTTAGGACGATTGGTAACCACTTGTATTCGTTCATAAAACGACAAGAAACGATGAAGCTTGAATAGTCTTGCTAACCGAAATACTGGATTTACTCCAAAGATGAAATAAAGTAAATCTAGCGGCATGACACTCAGACAATCAAGCCAAAAACCGAATGTTTTCATGTAGTGGTATCTTGTTTTTAAAATATCAATAACTAATTCACCGTTTTCCATATATCCTGTTCGGGATTGCATATAAATATCCAATAAAAATATCAAGTCTATGATATAATCTAAGACAAAAAGGCCTCTATAGTGTCTATCCATTCCTTCAACAAATGAAATACGTAAAATAATAGTCCAGTAGTTGTAACCAACGCCTATAGAGACTATAAACAGCCACATGAGGTACCTGGTGTCAAAAGGATCTACATTTATGAATCCGGATTGTTTCTTCACGATTGTCGTGATATCTTTTGATCCCACATCTGCAGTGCTTGATGATATTTTGACACCCTCTTCTTCTTTTAAGTGGTCATCCTTACCAGGCAGGTTGGAGTATTTCTTAAGGAATGGATCGTCGTTATGTGATTTTGGAAAAAATTTTTGGACATGTAATACTCGCATGGCCAGATCTGCAAATTTTCCTTCATGGTTTTCGACAGGATTTTCAGGAATGGTTGAATCATTTGGTTGATCAAGGCGTTCAATTATGGTTGTCGCGTTTTCAAATAATTCTTGGAAATTTTGTCGGTAGTCCAGATCCTATAAACAAGTGATGTCTTGTTATTAATTATATTTCTTCTTTTCCGGAAGACCACTTAATTATTAAGCTGCCAGAATTTCATTAAATTTCAACTTCTCCTCTTATTATTTTCTTTTTATTATTTGTATTACAAAATTATTTCTTTAATATATAAATATAACTAAAACTACACCACCAGTGGAATAACACCACTACAATCGAACAACATGACCAACAACTGGAACATCAACAAAATAATAATACTCAACAACGTAACGAGAACAACAATCAAAAGATTAATGTTGCCCCTGATGCTTGTACGCTTTGCGTACCTACTTTTATAAACATTCCACGTGACTCTATTGTAAGATGTATTGAAAACATTTTGATTTATATTAAATCATATTGATCAGAAGATATTTCGTCAAAATATATTAGTCATTAGCTAGAAAATACTAATAATATAGCAATCCTTTATTGTGTAGTTTGTATAGGGATTCATGCATGCACCAAACGTGCTTTTAATCAAGACATGCTTTGTCTGAAATTCTAGTTTACATTTAATGTACATTAGCGAACTACACTGACCTCTGCGATACAGCTGTCCTCCTTCATGATAAATATATATATCAAGTGAAATTTCTTTCTTTGTATCGATAAGTTTACTAAAGCTAATTTCAAACACCAACAATGTCAGAACTTTGTGAAAATGTTTAGTTTTCATAAACAAGCGGCATTCTCGTCTATCATACTTTGAACATTTGTTTGTGAAGAAATGATTTTGAGACGCAGGGATTCACTCTGATTTTGTTCTTCACAGTCAGTCTTGCTGTGAGCCTACCACATGAAGATTTAGCTTCATTATTCAATGCTACAAACGATGCAATCATCTGCTAAATGATATTTCTATAAGGTCTGTTTTGTACCGTATATGCAAAAACGTGTTTGAGCTGAAAATACTTGTCTTGATCATGAGTTCGGCTCATACCAATGCATATAGTTGATTTAACGTATTGAATTAATCATACTTATTGGAAATTTTGAGATAATTGGAATGCACGGAATTTTCTTCCCCAAAATGTCAAATTTAATAACATGCAGAGTGAAGAATCAGTTATTTTATTTTTGGGTGGATATTTTGGTACGTTTTCTCTGTCTAAAGAAAGGAAACAACTCAGATCAACGTTTTTGAGCCAAGGAACATGCATGCACATTAATGCTTGAGTTTGTTTCCATGCTCTATGAGGCAAACAAATTTCTTGAGAACTATACTATATATAGCATTGTAGCTACATCATAAACTATTGGGGGGACAGCCGTACTTGGAATTAATTGTTAATTATTATCGATTTAGTGGATTTTTTCAAAAAAAACAACACGTTTATTCATCTTTATAGGCTTTTTTAGAATGCTTCACATCTAACATTTCCCTTTAATTTACGTATACTTTTTCCAGCATGTATAGAGACCCTAACGTGTACTGATTTTCAAAGCCAGGCCAAGAAATATTTTTATTTAGTAACAAACTAATTTTTGTAATATAATACTAATAAAATTAACTCACTATAAAATCATAGATTTAACTTGTGCCTTGTGCATGGATTGTACATAATCGTATAGGATGCTTTTCATGCAATTGACAATTGTCAACCTTCATGTATATGAAAACAAAGGTTGCATGTGTGAAAACAAAGACATTATTGTTGTTAATTTCATTGTCTTGCGTGTAATTATTCCCTAAAGCTAAACAGAAAGTGTATTTTGTTAATCATTGACTCACATTGTACTGCATACAGTATAATCGTTTAGGTTCACAATAAATTCGACAGTTATCATTTGAAAAGACAATAAAAAGTTACAAGCATGCGCGCCATGTTCTTGCTTCAGCACGAACTTAAGCGTGAAAAGACGTTTTGAGACATTCACTTTAGTAGGACAGATGTACACTCTAATCAGTAAGAACTGTATTACTGCAGGATAACATGCACGTACCCTATCACGCTGTATGCACAGTGTGGCTAGATAAAAGCATTCGTTCTCAGCCAATGTATTTGGATGTCCGATACAAATGAGGTCCTGCCGAGACTTTGTGTGTCGTAACGAAACTTGCTGTGGGACCACCACAGAGATGAAATTACTTCGTTAGCCCAAATTTCAAAAGATGTCATTATCCACTCAGTAAAGATTTTTAAAATTATATATTGCAGACAAATTATTGCACAGTTTTTATAGACACAGAAAAATGCAGATAATAATTTGATATCCGTTCAAGTTGCATTTCATAGACAGTCTGGAAAGGACATTTGCTATAAGAGTGTAAAGGTTTTGAAAAACAATGAAACCACAAGACTGTATACTATACCCCTTGTAACGACGGTTGTTAACGTTTTGTTTTGACATGAAATTTGTATGCACGCCCCCTAGCCGTTTTATTTGTCTGTTGGTCTTTAAAGATTCTTAAACAATTTATGCAATAAATCAAATTTTGGCCGGGAACGTACAAAAGGCTCGCTGCTGTGGTCGATGTTGCATTTGTGGATATTCAATGTGTACGAACGCCTGTCTTAAAAGGTAATGGCGTAAAGCTGCGCAAAGGTATTAATGATTGTAACGTTTTATATGCATATTATGTTTGACAGGGAGCTAAGCGTTGTAAGTGTGTGGATTTAACTAAATGGTGGGATTATATTTACAATTACGAGATCGATGTGTGCATGAACTATGTTGTGACATATTTAAATTGTCCTTCGGAGAAGAAAGTTCTGCCGGGTAATGTTAATGGGATTTACGACCTACATTTTTGACCTTTATAGAAATGGATGTATAAAAGACGGCACTAGCTGTCTATATTATAGGGATTCTCCGTTTATCTTTCTTGCTTAGTTTTAGTTGTCATATAGAACAATGAAATTTCGTAAGAAACCATTATAATAGCAAAATGGCGGCCATCTTATTTCCAACAATCCTTTGCAAGCCAAATTAATCAACAACTTACACAACAGCTTATTGAAAATACCGAAAACACAGTGGTTTTCTATTCAATGCATGCATCAGTCGCGCATTTTTATTTATATAGATTATAGACTCGCAAAACAAAATAAATAGTACGTGACACATATAAACAACCACAAGAAAGTAAGACGAAGATTTTACTATGCATTCTGCTAATCTTTGTGGTTAATTTGTTGGTGAATGCATGCAGTTGGATATATAGAAGCTTATTCCTATGTACATACTAGTCATACCTTATTCGTAAATATTATACACTATAACTGTGCTTTTCATTTTGTCTTTATATAGATCTAAGTAATTATTTATATGATGACTCGACGTGTCCTGCGGAGCCCCATCAACTGCACCTGATTAAAATTCTATCGCCGCTTTACCCCGATGCCCTGCTGTTTGTGAGCCGCGCAGTGACTGCAAGAAATTTATGTGGATAAAAGTGTCGGTTTTAACCGTTTTTATTGTTAAAAGACTCAGAAACGTAGCACTAGTAGATGTCATATCAACGTTGTCTGAATGGGTCGCGACTATACAGAAGAAGAGAAAGCGTTTCTTAGTCAAGTTACAGCATCTGGCAGCGGATTGCAAACAACGTCAACAACTCTGTCAGTCCAAGATAGGCAAGTGGAAAAATCTAGTAAGGACTACTTAATATTTGATCCTACAGGTAAAGTTTGTTGTTCTTTATAGCATTAGAATTGGCTATGTAGCATCGCTACATTGCATGCATACCTGCATGTTTAAACAATGCGATTTGTTGCGCTGTTCTTAGATCCATTGACAATTATATAGAAAACCTAAGCCATAAATATCATCTGTTATATCACCAAGTAACTACATGTAATGCTGTGATGTTAGTAAAAAATCGAGTGGTAAAGCTTTAGTTATAGAGACAGCCGCTCTTCACGTTTAAAATCACGAAAGTGAAACTGTATAGATAATAACCCCCCCCCCCCTAATTTCAAGTGTGTTAAGAAGTGCTTATATTCTTGTGCTGCATTTATATAACTTGTTTGACATTTTATTATGCAAGTGAGCAAGACGATGGAAAATATACCGAGTGACTGGGGCACTTAATTTTAGGACTCTTTTTATTATTGCTCAAAAATCAGTTGGTAAAGGTTCAGAAGCCCACGCTTAATTAATAAACGTGACAATGAAATTTGAACAATGAGAAAATGGTATAATAACATTTCTGCATTTTTGTAGGTAATACCCTATATTACTGGTTGTTTGTTGTGGCAGGAGCGGTTGTATACAACTGTTGGACAATAATCTTCAGAATATCATTCTTCGAGACAAAGGAGCATGATCCTTACTGGATGACGTCAGACTACCTTTGTGACGTTATTTACCTTGCCGACATGTTTGTGGCGTCTAGAACAGGCTTTCTACTCGAAGGCATACTTCAAAAGAACATAAAACAACTTCGTCAACATTATTTAAAATCTCCATTTTTCTATATAGATATTCTATCTGTTTTACCCTTCGAACTCTCTCATATAAACGAAGCATACAATCCTGTGTACCGCTTGAACAGATTATTGAAGTTCTACCGATTTTGGTATTTTCTGGATAGATTTGAAAGCCGTACAAAATACCCAAATATTTTTCGTCTAGCATCACTTAGTCAGTTTATACTCGTTGCTATTCACTGGAACGCTTGTATATATTTCCTTTTATCAAGACATCTTGGACTTGGTTCAAATGACTGGGTATATCCTGGCAGTCATTTGAATTTAACAACAGAGTACTTATCTATGACAAGAAAGTATATGTATTCATTTTATTGGTCAACTTTGACTCTGACTACCATTGGAGTACCACACCCAAACACCAATATTGGATATGCTTTTGTGACAGTTGATTATCTTATTGGTGAGTGAGTCTTTGATTAAACAGTTCAATTATTCTAAGAAAACTAATTTTAGATTCGGGGACGGCGGAACTGGAAATGCAGGAGATGTGGTTAAATACACTCGTCACTCGTGCCAAATACAGCTGTGGCAAGGTGGCCAGAGATTCCCTTTGCTTTTAGAGGACTATTGGTTATTAATTGAAAGTCGTTGTAATTTCTATTTCGTTCTAACTAATTATTAAAATGCATGTCATCTCATGTAATGTAGATAGACCTCTGAACAAAAATCTAAAGACATTCCCTAGGTAGAGACTGCTTTACTATAATAAAGTTGAATAAAGTTGCATTGGTTTGCTTTGTAGTCGACAGATATGCGATGAAAATACCCTTTGACAAGAATCTGTACCCATTCGTCGTTTCATTCATTGGCGTAGGGGAGCAGCCAAAGTTTATTCTTATTACAATATAACTTATTTCGATCTAACAACATTAGGCAACTTAAAAATGGCCGTTCTAAAATACGTGAAATAGCGTTCTAATGAATCTAAAAATTCAAAATTTTCCCGGGGGAGCATGCGGATTCCTCGTGCCTTTGGCGCTCGCATTTCAAATTCCATAAAAATCTCCCCGCCCCCTCCAAAGTTTAGACCCTGGCTACGCCATTGGTTTCATTTAAAATTTAACGAACTTAGAATGATTTTGTATACAGCTATTTCAATTAAGGTTGTCCCCCAAGCAAAGCGGAAAAGTCGAATACGAGCGCGAAAGGCTGCTGGGAATCGCTAATAAATTCATTCATTTATTAGCGAATCCCAGCAGCCTTTCGCACTCGTATTCGCCTTTTCCGCTTTGCTTGGGGGGCAACCTTAATTGAAATAGCTGTATACTATATAGGTATTTGCATATACTTATGTTAAATTATGACCATGTTCATTAGATACTTTTATTATTGAGCAAACTTGTCTTGAACGTTTTCCTCAATTTATATGCAATGAAATTGAGATGTATTTCTTTTTTTTCTTTCCAGGTGTTCTTCTATTTGCCACAATTGTTGGCAATGTTGGTAGTATTGTTTCCAATACCAAAATGGCTCGTGTTAATTTTCAAACAAAAATGGACAAGTTAAAAAGATACATGTATGTTCACAAGGTTCCCAAACGCTTATATGACCGTGTTATAAAATGGTTTGATTATTTGTGGTCAAGTAAACAACACGCAGGTGACGATGCTGTTTTAGATACATTGCCGCATAAACTCAAGGCAGAAATTGCTATCCATGTACATTTGGATTCTCTAAAGAAAGTGGAAATATTTCAAAATTGTGAAGGTGGATTTCTTTGCGAGTTGGTCCTCAGGCTGAAACCGCAACTGATATCTCCAGGTATTATATCATGGTAATGAATTAGTGCAGACTAGATATTAAATCATTGTGTAGGGATCGACTGTGTGAATGTCTAACCATTTTTTGAAAGATAAAAATAGTTATTCATGTGACGTTGCCTTAGATATTAAGATAAAGGTGAATAACTGAGATTGGTACTATGATGTGGGTACTATATTAAACATGCATGGGAATGTCTGGAAACTCAGTCTATTTTAATACAATTTACCCGATTTTTTTCATTAAAATTTCATGATATTGAAAATGGGGAGGGAGGCGTTCCCAAAATAATCAAAATCTGATTTACACTATACAGTTTATACAAGCACAACAAATTATCTTTAGTTGATTTATTTTGAAATAATATAAAAGGGAAGTTGAAAACAAACATCTGTATATTAGTCTGTTGGAGTTTGTTTGTATTGCATCTGTTGGAGTTTGTATTATTTTACTGTTTTTAAAAAATTCGACTAGAATTGAAATGGATCTAATGCCGGGTTTTGGTATTCTTTATCAGGAGATTTTGTTTGCCGTGCTGGTGAAGTGGGTCATGAAATGTACATTGTAAACCGTGGAAAGTTGGAGGTTTTGTCGGAAGATGGTGGCGATGTGTTGTGTGTTTTACAACCTGGAAGTTACTTTGGCGAAATTAGCATACTGGATTTGGGAGGACGACACGGTAACCGTCGTACAGCTTCAGTGAGATCCGTCGGGTACTCGGATTTATTCCGATTGTCAAAACAAGACTTGACGTCAGTCCTGGAAGATTACCCTGAGGTTAAAGGAAGGATTGAAACGAACGCCCGTCAGAAACTGGAACGGGACAGAAAACGCACAATGTCTTCAAAGAAGAAGCGGCCAGTGATTGAAGTAAGACGAGGTTCCCAGAAAACTAGTGAAGAATTAGCAATGCAGCTTGAGATGCTGAAGAAATCTAACGCTGAACTTGCACAAGAGTTATTTCACGTAAAAAGTGTGTATAACGAACGTATTGCCAACTTAGAGTCGGCACTTAGTGCCTTATTGAGTAAACGAAGAATGTCAAGTCACAGAATGTAATAAACTATTTTTCGAATAACTTCTTCTAATGTACTACTTCTATAAGTATAAACAAATTTAATAGACGCTTTTACTGTCGACTGTTTGTCTAACTTTGGGGTGCAAGGCGGTTATTTTGCTACACAGTGGCGTAGCCCAAGGCTTCTGGGGTAGCCTGCATCGCAAACACATATTAATTCAAATGTCTGCAGACTGCATATAGCAAAAAGACTTAAAGCGCGTTTTGAAAACTTGGCCTAAACGAAAATTGATGTGTTACCCTGAACATGTTTTGTACATGATCAGATGCACTGACTAGTCAGTGCAAAGGAGTTCAATGGTACAAAGCCACTCCTGAGAGGCTTGAAAGGTTTCAAATCATGAATACGACAAATTGCTACTTTATGCTTGTGGGAGGGGATACAGAAAATTCGGGCAAATTTATTACAAAATTCTGGTTATATTTTTTACTATTTTTGCCATAAATATTTGGGCAAACTTTCGAGTGACCTCACGGAAAGGATTAGCCTCGCACGCTTATATGAGGCCTTATGGGTTGGACTGCTTTCAGACAAAGAGAATGCTAGTAAAGAGGACGTTGTGCAAAGTACACGTCGTTAACTGATCTGGTTCAATTCTAAGGAAAAAGTGAAGTAAAACGACAGAGCGCAAAACTAAAAGACATTGTATTTTTAATTGTATGTAATTAATTAATATGGAAAGAAATGTGAACAGGTGGATCATTGAAAGTATATACAATGGCAATGCACGAGATGAGAACGACCATAGTCTATATAGCTTATGTGGTATATATGATCACTGCAACTCTGTATTGCAATATATTTGATCTGTTCTTCCGTCTCGCATGAAAGCATGATTTGTAATTCCATGATTTTTCCGAGCTCATTTGACGGCCCTCTTTACGCCAAGTATATTTTAGATTGCAGTAGAAATCTGAACCCATTCGAGACATGAGTTTACAACCATATCAACGAGCTCTAGTGTCTTCACTCGCCTTCGCAGAAAAGCCTGGACAATTTTAGACAACTTTATTTACTCACAATTTAAATAAATGTCTAACTATAAATATGTTACTTTCATATTCTATTATTTATAATTAACCTCACTAATATAGAACTAAGATATTTTAATAAAATTTCTTAAAAGTATGTTAAAACATTACGTTTATTGACCAACTTCATGTGGTCTTGCTGAATGTTAATGACGAATATTTTCTGTTGATAATGTCGTGAGAAGACGTTTACTTTAACGTGGTTGTTCAAAGTCCTCCTAAAACAGAGCCTGGGGTTTCTGTCACGGAACGATTGTGAAATCGACGGTCATATGCCATTCGTCCAGCTAATTGTTCATTGCGGTAATGCTCATTTGTCGAAGGATAAAAATTCCGTGCGTAAATTGCCGCACCAGCTACCATACTAGGTGGACGATATCTCCCGATATAAGAATGGGTGTCCTGTGATACATATTGTGTGTATGATTTAAGATCACTTGAAGAACGGGCTGTGTTCATTGAACCATACAATGCTTCATAGTTAGACATGCTTTGTGCTGTACTGGTCATATTATAGGGTGAAAAAGAAACGCTGCTAAATCTTCTGCCTGCAGGGAGATAGCTATTCATTTGGTTATTGGATCTGTAGTAGAGTTGCGATCGTGCTTCAGGTATCATGTTGAGATCAGTTTCAGGTAGTGTGCTTGTTTTGTTACGAGTACCCAATTCTGGGTGATTGGCGGGCATAGAGGAGGCAGGCGTATTTGATATGTCATCTGAGCAAGTTCTTTCACCCTGGATACCACTTTCACATAATGTCCCAGTGGGCTTATGTTGAAATTGGACGGGGGGTGACTGGTCGACTATATCTTCAACGACTTGAACCTCGGAATTTTCTCGCATTTCTACGTCATTGGTTGACTCTAATAAAGGAAATATAACACTCTATGAGTTTAACCAATGAATAAGAACTGTCAAATTGTAAATTAGGTTTCTAGACTTGCTCGTGGTCTCTTTCTGTGTTTTATTATATAAGCTTATTATTTTCCTAATCGATACGAACTTTGAACTACGTTTGTTCAGGAAAACACCTAAAATTTATTTATTTCGTTTTCAAGATATAAAATTTTCTAACCACAAATGGTAAAAGTTAATTGATACCGCCAACTTTTAGTATATTATGATTGCCTTTCGTCTGTTTGTTGATCAAAACCGTTAATTTTGTTCTTCATTATATCGACACAAATGCAACTTACCATTTTCTTTTTCAGAGTTACACGGTTTGTTTTCGAGCTCGACACAGTAAGGTGTTTGATCACAGGTAGCTTTACACTCAACACAATACACTATGTAATCTTCTAAAAGTATGTGTAAAAGGTGGAACGAACCTATAAAATTGAAGAAAGTTCTTTAGATTACAACCTATAGACATCCGGTATCCAATGTTCCCAATACCAAATCCACTAGGCATGCAACCTCGTTCCCAGGCTCTTCTCTCTCGCAGAGGAAAACTACAGGGAGAGCCTAGGAACGAGGTTGATCCACCTGGTTCTCATATATTATTACTTCAGTTTCAAAGTCAGACTTATCAGTAAAAATTTCCAACAACACTTTATTCCGGAATAACGCTAATGAACGATTATTATGTAAAATATGTAAAATTAAAGATGTCTTACCGAAACTTTGAGCACTTTTCAAGGTTAATTCGCGCATAACTTGGTTGCCAAAGAAAGACCACTTTAAGAGAAATTGTCGCGAGAGCTCTTTTACTTTTTCTTCATTGTTATTCTTGTCAAAATATTTCTAAAAGAACAAAATCAGTTATGTGATTGATGAAGGAAAAGTTCGAAGACATTGCATATCAGGTGGTGTAAGACTTGCTGATCGAGAGCTGGGAATTACTGAGAAGACAGTTTAATGGTTGTTATTGAAATGCCTTTTTAAGGAACAAATCCACCAACATTCCAGGCGTTATCAGATAGGTGCATGGTTAGAGCGCTGTACCGGAATTGCAAGGTCTCAGTTTCGATTCCAAAAGTTTGGCCTATAGTTGTATCTTTGGCAGCTGCTCCTGGTTAGGTCTGCAATTGACCTTATGCATAATGACGTCACAAGGCTTGATGCCCACGAGGAATGCTGGTCTTAGTAGTCATTGCCCTGGAAAATTAAACAATTCAAAATGGCCACTATCGAAATGTTCCCGGGTGATGCTACTAAGACCAGCATTCCTCGAAGGCATCAAGCCTTGAGACGTCATTATGCATAAGGTCAATTGTATACAATCTTCCACTCGAAATTTCCATCTACAAAATTCCTTCAACTGTTATCAGGAAATACTTTCCTGGAACTCACCTTCAGACACGTATCGACTAGAGTGCTAGCCCATTCAGCATATTGATCAATGGTTGCTTGTTGTTCAAGAAGTTGAGTAAACTGTTGAAGAACTAAACAAAAATAATTCAATCTAGTTGTTTATATGAACAAAAGCAGGGACGTCGTAATGGGGCGTGTAATTTTTACGCATTTTTTAGACGGTGTTATTATGAGCGCAATCATCGAATTATCACGACCGTACAATGCCGAAGGTTGCACCCTCCTCGTTACTTCCGTTTTTTCCACTGTTGCGGGCCGCTACTTTCGAGGGGAGGGTGCTACTTATACGGAGGGGGACGCTACTTTTGGCCGCAGGTAAAATATGTCAATATGTGGAATATCCTTCGTCTCCCTTCTATTCTTCTACCGCTACTTACGGGATTCTATGATGTTTTCTGTACTTACAAGTTTCTATGACTTGATAGTCAGCTTCAGGATTGGACGAGAATGTCCACAGCGTCTGTTTTACGATCTCATTAAAGTCGATACTCCTCCAGTCGTTAACCATTTGTGTTACAGGCTCACTACTATGTAGGACAGTCCTAGCTGCTTGCGCGAGGTGCGTCAGAGATGTTTTGCGACGAAGTGACTTTGAGAAGGCATTTGCAACTGAAAAGAAGAGTAGTGTTAATAAATTAGAATCATGCTTGTTTTCAATTTACTAAAGAAAGTGTGATCATGATCGTTTCCCCTTCCAACCGTTTGTTTACCTTTCATCTTTTTCTCCTTAAGCTTTTCTGGGAAATGAGCAAGCGATGACTCTAACCATGAACTTAACTGAGTGGCAAATTGTCGGATTGCTTGGGTCAAACTATATTGTCAAACAAATCACAAAGAGAAAATGTTATTTACCTACAATATAAGCTATTGACATGATATATATAATTATGTCGTTTATCATATTCCACTCATGTCACAGTCAATCTCGTACCCAGAGTATGCCCGTTCGCAGGTTATAGGTGCTGGGCATCTAACCTGCGAACGGGAATATTCTGGGTACGAGGTTGATTCCACTTGATCATTCGCAAGGATTGCAAATTTTGGCAAGTTTGTGACGGAAAATGTTTTTGCACTGGTTGGGCAATCTCCATAAATGTCGGGCAAATTTTGTCCGCCCCTCTAATTTTTTCCTCCCGTACGCCAATGTCGATAAACTGTACAAGCTAGCAAGTTGTTAATTTATAAGCCTTTGATTTCGTATACGTCTCAATAGTCATTACAATAATAGTGCCGATTGGTAAAACCTGCATGCATGAATATAGTATGTATATTCGCCTCTCATTGTAGCTATTTCTGACGACCTCTTTCCTCATTATAGCTATTTCTGACGACTTCTTTCAAGCGAGGATAAGCTAGTGCAATTCAGTTTACTCACCTAGCAGGCAAGGGTTGCAGTACTCCTGGTATCAACACACTTCCAATTGCCTGAAGAGAGGAAAGAATAAAATTGACGACTTCCGGGATCCTTCTAACATTAGATGTATAAATCGCCTCTGCATGCCGAAGGATTTGTACAGGTGATTGAACCTTTACATGCCGAAGGATTTGTACAGGTGATTGAAAAATCGCAAAGGATGCAATATCCCACGTTGCAATATCGTTCATTTGACTTGAAAAGACAGTATCTTCTTTGTGCATACGTATATCATCTTTACAGTTTCGCGTCAAATCAGTGGCGTCGGCGGGGGAGGGGGGGGGGCGAAAATTAGTTCATATGAAAAATTGGGGAAGGGTGGAAAATTGTAGGCAGACAGTGGTGCGTATCTTCTCATCGATTTATTTAACTTTGTTCTAGCTAATTTATAAAGCTCTATGTGACTATGTTTATTCATAATTGACAAGTTTTCTGAAATCAATATTTGACACTGTCAAGAGGTGATTTATTAGGACCTTTTCTCCAAGTGCTCCCATGCACAATGCAGGAAATGCTGGTTCAGAGACCTAATTTTTTTCCGGAAGAGGATGTCCCCAGACCCCCCTAGAATTGTGACTTCCCAAATTATTAAGTTGCCCCCCCCCCTCCAAAAAAAACCCTGGCGGCGCCACTGCATGGTCAAGATAACATGCAGTAATGTAAAGAGATCTTCCTTCAGTGTTTCGCCGAAGGTCACTTCAAACAAGCTAAACTGACACAAGCTAAGAATTAAAATGATAATAAATTCGTGTGTTTTATCTATATACTGCACGCAATCCTTCGTGTTCATGAGACAGACATAATTAATTTGTGTCTTCCACTTTCGGGTCAGTTTATTGTTTCTTTTCTATACAAAGTGTTTTACACTGAATGAATCTCAGTCCAGAAGTTACTGGGTGGTTCAGATATATGTAGATAGAAAAAATGTGCGGACTGGTATCTCACCTTGAACAATATTTCATCACAGATTCCTATGAGTTTGATAACCTCAGGACAGCTTAATATCGTGAGAATGTGTTCAGGCATTCCTTGCCAAAAATGAAGAAAAAATTTCTGAACCTGGTTTGAAAAGAAAAGCATAGCAAAGAAAACAAATTGAGATTTGGTTACAACTATAGATATTTATTAAGGTCGCTTGATATAGTAATCCTCACAAAAATCCCTTATATACAAGACTCACGAAAACAAAACTTTATGCTATATATGAACAAAACCGCGTGATAATAATTCGTTTTTGCGGGAATATGAACTAGGAAACTTCCATTATGACCTGACATGATGAGTTGCTCACGCCATCTCGCGCGGTACGCGAGTGACTACGTGCGTGTTGTAGGTATAGCGTGCTGTATGTCAATTGCTGACCTCATTAAAAAATCCAATTTTGGGAAAATCATGTCTGATGACTTATGTTCAAGATTTGAAAGAAATAAAAAAAAACATATTAATTATTGTTAGTCTATTTTCTAAGCAAAATGATGCACGAAAAAAAATTGGTTCACTGTGCTTCTTTTTCACGTGTGTGTTGTCATAGTAACAAACTATGTGTTGCCAAGGCTAGCATAATTTAAAAGAAGAAACATTGCAATTGACATATTTGAAAATCCCAATATCTGCTGCATAAACCCCATTTGAAAATGTCAAACTGCTGTACACCTGAAGTATTTGAAAACCGTATCGAGCCACTTTTCGAAATACATGAATACTGTGTTGTATTGGTGTAAGATTTGTTTAAAATTTATCATGTAACTTTAAATGAAGATGAAAATTGTTTCACAGAAATCATTTCTATAATGCCCTATTTTTTAGCTTTTGAAAAAAGCTTTCTGGAAAGATAGATATATAGCCAAATAATTTAGATAAGAATTTAGCTTTTACTGCATGATTTCAAAGTGTTTGTACCTCTCCAAAATTAGCTCGTAGTATTGTGTCCAAGATTCGTTGACAATGTGCTCGGTACATGATCAAAAATGTTCGTACCTATACAGGAAACAACAGTTAAACATTAGTTCTTAATTGGCTTGATTTTTATACATTTTGAGGATGCCAGTTAACATATTATTCATAACGATCAATGATCAACACGTATCCTGTGTGCATGTGTCCTTCTACATATCTCTAGTAACTCCTTAGTCGCTTTAGACGTGGGGTTGTGAATCGCTTGTGTTAGGTTATATGGATTTTAAAACTCGATGCAGATCCCAAAAGAGGAAAGCTTGGGACAACCTTACTATATACCGCATGCAATAGTAACGTCATTATGTAATTGCGTACATTTATATATAGTTATGGTTGTCCCAGTGGTGGTAACACATCGACTACCAAATCGAGGCTGCAGTGGGATTCATGCTTTACCTTGTCGCTAGGGATAGTTGGAGGTAAAGTTAATGTTTCAATCTTTGGAAACGAAGGCAAGAGAGTACCACCAGAAGATGACATAAGACAGTGTTGATTTGAACTTGAACTTTTTCCCGAACTGTACGTCTAAAAATAAATTAAATAATTGTTTAATATATACGGACAGAAGCATAATTTAGCTCCTAAAAGATCTCGAATTAAATTAACGGCTTCATAAAGGTCCAGACACACCGGACGCGATTCGACAACGCGACGCGATTTTTCGATTTTCACTGACCGGTAACTTTGATTCTAGTTTAAATTTTCCAAATATTTAGAAGCGGTATAACATTTTGAGTTATTTGGTCAACATATTTTTCAAAATTTGTTCTTATTGGCTGTTTTATTAACTTTCAAAAACTAAAAAATCGCGTCGCGTTGTCGAATCGCGTCCGATGTGTATGGACCTTTAGACATTAATGCCTTCATTAGATCCTTTAATTAAAATTTGCACTTTGTAGCAATAGTAATTTCTTCATGTAACAGTATACTTTTTTCAAAAATTATGATAGTTAATTATACAAATATATATTTTGCAGGATATACCTGATTTTTAACTGACGCAGTAGCTTTAGTTGAAGTGTAGCTAAAATAGACATTTTACAAAGTGTGATTAGTATATAGCCTAGAACTATGGACATAAGGGTAATTACTGGTATAAGACATCTTCAGAAATATAGCTAAGTTATATGTTCAGTATTTTATTTGAAGAGTAAAAAATTTCATCTCACCTTTGAGTAGCTTGTCTTCCATTATTAAGTAATGTGTCGTGATAAGGCGACGTCTCTTTAATGGTTATACCGTAATAATGATACCTGGAGTAAATATATATTTTAATATTTTCCAACCATGCACTTCTTTAACAGTTAGTTATTGTTTAGGTGAAAGTTAAAAAGTATCAATGTATTTTAATTTTGGTTTAAATAGTAATCCTTTTTTATAGGACGTGTGCTTACTTAGACTGTCCTCTGGTCCCAAGTCTTCTGGTTTTCAAATTTGGAAAGTTATGACGAATTATCTACAAAAGGATAATTTTAAAATTGTGTAAGGAGCAATAGAAATATGAGGCCTAGGTATGTAATTTGCGCAAGCCATATATATATATATATATATATATATATATATATATATATATATATATATATATATATATATATATATATATATATATATATATATATATATATATATATATATATATATATATATATATATATATAGATATATATATATATATATATATAGTAAGAACTTGCGTGCAAAACGTGAAGCCAAAATGGCAGAAATTGACGTCCATTACCAGTCCCTTATAGTAGTACTTGTCTGTGCAGTTAACACGAAGCTGCGAGGAGTGTGCCCAAATTTCGTGTTTAATCTGACCGATTACATCCAGTTTCACGCTTATTTGTATTACTTAGCCTATAGACTAATTATCTTTACAACAATTGTGATATTACTTTCCTAAGTTCACCCTAACCCACCCTGTCAACTTTCCCTGTGGGAGGAAATTGATTAGAGCGATCCAATTTGTGAGAAAAACCAAATTTAGCGCGGGGGAGGGGAGTGTAATGAAAACTGTTTACGTCATATAGACACTGGAATTCAATTGCCACCCTCTTCAAGGCTGAACGCTGATCTCATGACTGAAGATATTTCTCCATGTACATGCAGTATATAATTATATAGTTAATATGTTAGCAAGTTAATATGTCAGTTGCACCTACTTTTCCAAAACTAGCTGCATTGACAGGACTTAAACCACTTTTTTGACAGAAATCTAAGTAATGTTGGTAAAGAGAACTGCGTGGTAAACTGACTCCTTGTGCTACTTCGTAATGTTCATTGAGCCTAAAAATTAATTTAAAAATTAAAAGATTTTGGAATGGAATAAGGTATTAGCTGAGAGAGATACGTTATATAGGTCTTAGTTTGGTTTGATTCATTGATTGGTTTGGTTTGTTGATTGGTTATTGAATCGATCGTCAGTCAGTTCACTTGTATTAGTATCGTCTGATACACGAAGACGAGGCTAAAGAGCCAAAGTGACGTACTTTCCGGAAGGGTGTATTGTAGTTAAAGATTCACTAATGAAAATTAATTAAAACTGAGCATGCGTGTACCACGCATGCTCAGGTTCTCAGTCGGGTTCTTCAACTGGCTCTCCCAACACCGCGGAAAAACGTCTGCGCATGCGTCAACATTACTGAAATCTGTATTGCGAACGTGATGTCAAGTGTTCCGAATGTTGTCAAAAACTCAAAATGGAAGCGACTTCGATGTTTTGTCTATGAAAATGCAACCGGAATAATGTGTGCAAATGCTTAACTATTCGATAGTTTTCTTAACTTTTGTGCTTAAGTTCGGTATTCGACAATTTTTCAAGAAATGTTCACACGCCTCCCGGTCTTAAACGGTAATTTTTAATTTAACTTCTCTTTCTTTTTAGATTTTAAATGTTACAAAATTTTTTATTAATGTCTAAACTACCCGTCTAGTGTATTTTTTGTTTGTTTCAATTACCTTAAATAATTAAAAAGCCATGTTTTTGTTTACAATTTGGCATTTAAATCCCTCGCCATCTTTTTTGTGCCCCACGCATGCGCAGACGTTTTACCGCGGTGTTGTCTCTCCCACAATCATACGAAGAACGAAAGGTGAATTAGTTAAATACGATGATCAAAGTAAAGAATAATGTCCGGGTGAAATGCTCGCTTTAAAGGTTACAAACGTGGAGTTCTAGGACTCCTGCAATTGCCCTTGGGAAGGTCTGAGACAAAGGTCAACCACGCTCTAGCAGGGCACCCTCCTAATGTGAGGTGGTGGTTCACAAGAAACATCCCTGGCAGGTTATGGCACATGATACCCTGTTCACGTAGGGTAGATGCTATGTAACCTTGTCAAAGTTGGGAAGTGCCACGACCAGCTTAGTAAGTGCAATAAGCGAGGTGGTATGGTTTACATACCATAACTCAATTCAGACTACTCTTCACCCGGACATTTTTTCCCGCATGTATCTCGATCAGAGATATGTCTTATCATGCATAACTTAATATCAGAAAATCAAAACAATTTCGTTATCAGTATTTCTTTATTTAGACACGCTTACTCCTTCAGCAAATGCTGATTTCCAAGGAGGGCGCGCAAATTTAAAAGGTACATGAATAAAGTAACATAACACACACTAATAATATAAATATATATATAACAAAGAGTACAATCGATCTAAAGCAGGCTAGTGTCAGCAATCAAGGTATTAAATGAATTCAAACAATCTGCAATTCTCAGATTGCCAGATAATTCATTCCAAAGTTTCGCACCGCAAAACCCAATACTTTTCTTTAAGTATTCAGTATTAGGTTTCTGTAAATACAATTTGAATTCGTTATTACGTAAGTTATAGATTTGTTGTGAATTTTCAAAGATTTCGGTCAAAGCAACTGGTGCTTGCGAATGAGTAATTTTATACATAAGTCTGGCCTTCATGATCAGCCTGCGTTCTTGTAAGGTTAGGGTTCCAATAGACAATATGGGAACCAATAGACAATTCCCATTATAGACTAATTTTTTATATCTTAGCAAAAAAAGTATTTTCCCGGGAAGAGCACACTAAAATGAGTAAAATTGCAAAGTTTGGTTGCGAAATGTTGTAAAATGTGGAAAATATAGCCTTGCAAAGTTCGCAAATTTTGTATACTTTTGTATTGCGTGCGGCTGGTAGCAATTTCTGCATGCAATACAAAAGTATACAAAATTTGCGTATTTTACAACATTCCGCAACCCAATTTTACTCATTTTAGTATGCTCTTTCTAGGCTCTAGCTGTGATGATTTATTTGCATCTCTATGCCTAGTTTCAAAATTAGTCTATAATGGGAATTGTCTGTTTACCGGCATGAACATAAGAGACTATTTATTTGGCTTTCATTTATGATTATTAATATTAAAGGCATTGTTATTTATTGTTAAGTTGTTTGGTGATGCATTTTTAAAACTACCAATGTTTTTTCAAACTAGTAAATCTTTTCAAAGCCCACCTCCTTCTTTCGTCTCTCTGTATTTTTTCAAAGCCCCCCTTTCAGGTTTTAAAAAATTTAAAGCCCCCCCTCCAGTTTCTCCTCAATCCCCCCCTGTACAATAAATAATGAGCGGTCCTTTACAATTACATACATATTAAATAGGTTGTAGTAAATATTAATAGGTTATATAGTGAAGGTAAATATAGATTTGAGAACTCTAAGTAGCCAGGTGTCATACGTTTTTTGTTGAATATATAGCTAGAGTCAGTAGAGATTGCATGTCATTGTAATTGTAAACCACTGTCCCAGCAGCTATATCCGTAGAAGTTGTCACATGCAGGGGTTATTAACTAGCGAGCTTTAGCAACGACTACGAGATTTGATCGCGGGCGAGGAAATCACCGTAGTCGTTCTCGTTTCCGTTCAAATGTTGTTTTTATAGTAGTAGACAAACAACGAAAGAAAAAGTTCATATAAACTAAATCTCCTGCAGGCCAAAATCCCCTACAAAATGTGCAAATAAGTCATAACATTAAAAACAAGCCAGATATTTAACACTAATAGATTATTTGTGTCGGATAAACGCAACAAATTATTTCCGAAAAACAAAAAAAAAGCCAACTTTCTTTGTTTTTTTGAAAAGTCGTGGTGAGGACTACGAGATTTCTCCACAATTTCGTACTCAAATGGGCGACGACTACGACTTTTTCGCGTCAGTACGGAAAAGTCAAATACGAGCGCGAAAGGCTTGCTGCATGAGAATGGCTAAGAATTAATGAATTTTTAGCGATTCCCAGCAAGCCTTTCGCGCTCGTATTCGACTTTTCTGCTTTGCTCGGGGACAATCTTAATTGAAATAGCTGTATATGACGTGTCATAAAACACATAATTCTAAAATAGCTCTCATTGTAGCTCTCACCTAGTCACCTTAATTCCTGTAGGACGTTGTAAGATCAACAGAAAGTACTTAAAAATGAGGAACTCACTACCAAGTGTTGGCGTGAGAAAAGTTTCTGTACAAACCAATAGTTGTTGCACGACGAGCATTTTACTCGTATTCCTGTTACTGCAGCTATAAAGTACAGCTTCAAACATACAGCGCATATGCATGGTGTTGCCAATATTATCTAAAACTATCTATACGCAAAAAAATTTTTCGTTTGTATTTTTGGTCAGGTATGTGTGTCAATTTTAAGACTAAGTATCCTCCTTGGGCTTCCTTCGGCCTTTTATGACAAAACCTCTTATTACGACCTCATGATAGTCATCCTCGCATGTATAATGAATGCATGCATGAATCTAGAGTTTGGTCAGATTAGACACGAAAATACTACATTTTTATAATGTGCAGACCAATATGTATAGAAATAGAAAATGTAACGATGGTTATTTTACCAATATTGATCGCTTAAAAGATTGACCAGTATCGACACCCACTCTCCACTACTGATGGAAGTGAGTTGGCGTGAGGATCCTTGTAAAGTATAGTGCAATATAAGAAAAGTGTTAGAGAAGACCCTCACTATATGACTATCATTTGTCAACTGCCACGAGCCCTCTATACAAGCATGATCGAAACGACAATGGAATGAGCTTTATGCAGATGGAAGGGTTCCTCGGATGCCAAAGCCTGAAAATGCGTAATAACAATGGTCTGTCTTTATTTATAGACTTAGTGTTGTTGAACAACGTAATGAGATTGCTAAGAAAATAAAAAACAGTAACTAATGAGCACAATTAACAATATTGGTTCTCATACACTTCAGAAATGATGAGTGGACATACTGCTCAGGGCTCACATTGATACCAGTTCTTCTGAACTGACGTGACTATATACCCTGATGAAATAAAGTTTATTTGATTTGAGTATAGGTTACTAGTATTATTCACGATATATTGATCGCTGTGTTCCAACGTTGGTCTAAGACAACACGCGGTTATGATGTGTGGTCAGCATTCCACTCAATAGAATCTGTAGGTTATACCAGCTACAATCTTTGCCAGAAACTATGGGACAGCTGCTGTAATTTCATATAATTTGAAAGGAATAGCGCTCCCGTTCCCCCTGTTCAATAGAGAGTTTAAGTTCGACTTCCAATACCGATACCAATGTTTTCACTTCCATTCTCATTTTGGTACCGGGAATTTTAAAGCGTTAAGTTATCACGACAGATAAAGTATAGAACACATTAATCGGTACCGAAAATGTGCGGTATACTAAACGGCAGCTGAGCTAAAATTCCAACTAAAACATGACTCAGGCGATGCTAATAAACAAATAGTTTACATGTTTATCGTAAAATTATGAAATATCCGATTTATATGAGTTTATCTTACAATTCCCCCGACTTCCAATACAAGGCCGACTTCGGTAGTGGTGACTTCCAATACACTCGTGCTTCTTGCGAGCAGAGAGCATGCGCATGACATGTTGTTAGTATCGGTATTGGTATCGGAAGTCGAACTTAAACTCTCTAATGCTGGGCCGACAACATTGAATAATGTATCAACAAATGGTATATTACAATCGAATGCATGTGAAAACTAGATTGTCCCAATCCATATTGTCAATGATTGTCTGTTGAAGTAATACCATTACTCTTAAATGTAAGTTAATTCAACTTGTAGACATCATCAAGCTGCGTACGCCGTTATATTTTCAAAATTTCTTCATCTCTTTTAGGACCTTTAGCAATTTCGTTGCACATGCACGGATAATTTTCGTGTACTGCATGTGTAATACAATGTGTGCGTATATGCGTGTGTTATCGAAATAGCTAAAATCCGGCTGAAACATCGCGTATATTCAAAATCAGATTTAAACGCTTGTAGTGCTACATTTTAGTAACAAATCTAACAATTCATTGAATTTCATGTATATGGTAACGGCATTGGGACTCTATTTAAAGAAAATTGACAACTGAGCCATCTTGTTAGTATAACTAAGCGCGTATTTGTGACATTGAGATCAATATAGAAACGAATTTCACCACGAATCTTAGTTTGTTTTGTTTGTTTGTTTGTTTGTTTGTTTGTTTGTTTGTTTGTTTGTTTGTTTGTTTGTTTGTTTGTTTGTTTGTTTGTTTGTTTGTTTGTTTGTTAGTTAGTTAATCAACGGAAGCCAAATATAGCAATGCACATATATATGCATGCTATAATTAGGTATAATGTACATCTTTATTTCCCAAACCAGTCTGACATATTTTTACAAATAGCCAACCACATGCGAGGTCAGATTCTGAACCTAATCTATGACCAAGTAGTGCTTGGTTATAGTTTGACATTTCCATTTTCAAGTAGTCAAATCACCTAGCTAGCTTACGTTCAATATTTGGTTGGCATGGGGAAGCCCGTCTCGGCATTTCTTTCCAAACCTGTTGTGACCATTGACGCGCGCGAAGGCTGTGCTGGATAAGGACACCGGATCTTTGTGTAACACTCTTGCAATAAACATGCATATGTATACAAATAACAAAATATAGTAATGTAGTAATCTTCAAAGTCCCACATTTAGGTTGTATTAGTCAGCTTAATAATAATATTGGTGCATTCTGCATTCTCTTATCTTACTATCGTAATTTTTAAATTGTTTTATATATGTATTTCATTTGACTTTAACATCTAACATGCGACGATTGCCCGTGCCATCTGCATTAGATAGCACGGGGGGTATGGGACAATGCAAAATGAGAATGCAGTTTTAGCAAAATGACGAATAGGGATTTTACAGAATCCTTTACCAGCTGATAGTTTCGGCAAAAATACTGAACTAATGTTATTTTGAAAAGACGTGTGCATGAATATTTACTATACACAATCTATTTTATCTACCTTGTAAATATATAGTGCTGAAGATGAATCGACATTGATTCGAAATATACCGTTTAAATAAATTGTGTAATATGGTGCATTCATGCAAACATGTTTCAGAATAATATTAGTTCAGTTTTACAGCAACCATTAAAATCTCTTCGCATATACATGCATGTACGTTAGCGTACCTATTTTTTTCTATTTTTCAATCCGAGCCATGGATTCGCGTGCGTGCAAGGAGTGCGGGAGGTTGAAAACACTTGTCCACAAAAATCCATAAAAAATATGTTTCTTTTTTTTACATACTTGACCACACTTAATGGAAAACAAATGGCATTCGCTGAAGTTGCCTCCCCCTTGTTAAATAACTGTATATTATACGTATTGAACAATACTTATTTAGATCATGCAGGTATTAATTACAACAAAACTTTCGTAATCCTTTACCCTTCCACTCATCTCTATTGGCCACTGATCTCTATTGAGCACGAGATTTCCTTACCAGCTTGATAGTGTCAGCAAACATAAAACAAAAATTATTCCGAACGAACTAATAACATTATACACAACTTATTCAGCAAAACATACATTATTAAGTTAATTATGTGTTTGGTTATGCGCTCATTACAAACGCAATTCAGCTATATATGTCAATAAAAGTATTTTGCGATCTTCAGTAATCTAATAAAAGTATCTTATAATATATTTTATTAAATCAAATACTGAACATAAATCGTACATATATATAGATTAAAATATACAATTTAATAGAATTTGTTTTTGTGTAAAGATCACTTTGCGCAAAGTAACTTTCAGTTTTTATACTCGAAATTAAAGCTAACCCCCCTCCCCGAACCTATATTGCGCTTAACCTTTTGCGTTCCAATCATGTTTTACTTGTTATTCTTAATATTTTATCAAAGCGAAGCCTCATTGTTATCATCGTAAGCCTTTGTTCCGACCGGAGAGTACTTAGAAGCTCGTTAGCAACTCTCTTTGTTACACTTACCACTTGGTTGTCAATGGCGACTGTAGTTTGCTGTGGGAGAGATATTGAGTGTTCGTGTAAGGACCTATTTCAAAGACAAAAAGAAAATGTAGGAAACGTGGCATTGAATGGGGTAATAGATTTGGTACATCACGGAATGGTGAATCTTGAGAAACGTTTTCGCCTCTTAATATTTTTCTTACATTCCTCCGAAATGTTTGCGCTTTTCGTTCCTATATCTGCTGTTGTTTAGCATCATTAACATTTAAAAGCATGTACTTGCGATTAGGGCAGTTAATTTTAATTGCAGCTCTCCATAATGACACAGCAATTGATTTTCACAGTCATCAGTCTTCACGACTCTATTAAATTTGTCCGTACATGAGCAAATTCTTATCTACATGATGAATCGACGGTTTCTGGTGCATGAAGCCTTGAACCTGGTGGTTGTCTCATATGGTATGCGTTAATGATCCGAATAGTAAGCGTTGACGTGGCAAAGTTGAAAACAATGTAAAAAGCAAACTCCTACAATTTTCGTAGCCTGTTACTAATTTGTTAGCCTATTTTTACATTTACGACCACTAATTTCACCACTGAAGGTTCAACATTGAAAGACTTGTAAAACCAACCGATATACAGCTATTTCAATTAAGGTTGTCCCCGAGCAAAGCGGAAAAGTCAAATACGAGCGCGAAAGGCTGCTGGGAACCGCTTTGAAAATTCATTAATTTGTTAGCGATTCCCAGCAGCCTTTCACGCTCGTATTCGACTTTTCCGCTTTGCTCGTGGACAACCTTAATTGCATTGCTCTTCTTCACGTTCGCACAACTCGCTACTCGTCCAGTCTTTGTTCTACCGGCCTCAAATAAATTCTCCTTTCCTGGACAAAAATTACCGGCAATCACGGCTATAGGCATGTAAATTACGTTTCACGATACAAAAATCCGCCGTTTGACATTTCACGACAGAACAAATATTGATAATTCACGGTTTACGAAAATACACTTTATCGCCCTATGGCTATGCTGTCAACGGCTTGGCAGGAATGTGAAATATAAATATTGATTCAAGCTCAAATCAACAAACCAACATGTACACAAATGTTATCTGCTGCATATAATATACATCCCACCATATATAAAATTATTTTCAATTTGCCACTCGTTCACATTTGAAAATGGGGAAATAGTTTGGGACAGAAAAAGAATATCATAAAATGACTTATGGCGTTATGTTATGCATGAACTCGTGCATGGTTTCAACTCATGGTTGTGTAAATTCAATCATATTATCTTAAAAAAACACTTCTACTTTATAGCTTATAAAATTATAATCCTATTTGCTGTATACAATAATGTTTCATTGTTATTTATTTGGTTCTTCACTGCCTAGCAAACGGTTGCCCAGTAATAATATAATTACTAGGATACCACCATACAGTCAAAGATCGTGAAAGATATATCATAATGCTTGAAGTCTATAAGAAAGAAATACAATTTTTATATTTGGCTTACCGGTTTTTGGCATTTTGTACTCCTGTGGCAACGTGCTTTCACTGTCAATTGCTGCCTAAAAATTAAAATAAAACACCATGATATATAACACATCTAATTAAAATCATATTATGTAATAATGATATTCTTTATGTGATATTACATACTCACAGAGTGAGAACGAAGCTTTCCACACATCATAGATAATAATGCTGCTCTATTTAATAGCTCAATTACTCTTTCAATGCTTGTGTCTTAGAATGCTAAGATCTTTGTAGCAACATTCGAGAACTGGTCTACGTACAATTCTTATATTGATTGTATGTTGTTAATCATTAGCATAATCTTCTATATTTTATGCTGTTTCCGCACTTTTCTTTGATTCTGTCAACCTCTTTGTTGAAAAACTTCGAGAGTACATGTACAAAATTTATTTAGGCTATAATACCCTATTTTTCAATATTCTCAAGATAACCTTCATTAAACTTCATGAAAAAATTAATCATTATACTTAAATTCTCAATTATTAACAAAAATACCAACGCCAGACAATGGTCAATGTTTTAATTGAGAAACTTAATTAGGCATGCATGCACTACACGAAATCATACAAACAATTGATCGATTTTACCATATGATTGTTGTTCAATTGTTCCATAAATTCATTCTGTGACTGACCACGCAAAGACAAAGTCTTCACAGATAATTCATTTCTATAATTGTTCATCCTATACAGCAAATGATTTTGTATATTTTTCTTTATTGGCCCATTTTAGCAGTTACATGCATTTAAAACATGCATGTGTATTAAAAATGAATGTTATTAATCACAATACCAGTTCAGTGTCTTTTCCGCATCTACACCAATTTGTTGTTTATAATGTCACTATATTTACCTATGTATAATATATGGCTCACGACACTTCATCTTCTATGTCTACTATGTCTTGACAAAATATGAAATATAGAGTGTTGTAAAGTATAATTGATAGTTTGAAGCTTATATATTCAGTTGCATAGCCATAGGCATAAATGAGTATATTGGGAGTCTGGGTCGACTTATTTTAAACATATAGTTATAATGGAATGACATGCCTTTATTTCAAAACTTCAAAAACACAGGCAAATATTCACGGTTTTTCTCAGAAAAGACTGAAAATACTAACAAATGCACTTGAAATTTAAAATACGTTTTACATTTAAATTCATTAAATTGATGTTTTTCACTAGCCTTTTAACTTGCTTCATATACAAATTAATGTTTGTTTTACTTGCGTGTCTAACCTGAGGAGTATAGGAAAGACACTTAAACCTTGACGGAAATCAAACTTATAATATTTTATAATGTGAGTAATGTGAAAGATTATATTTATGAATGTGTATGTTTTACTTGATGAGAGGGTGGCCCCCTCTTGACATTTCCTTTTTGTGTTATTTGTAGGGTCATCATGCTGTGACCGCCCTTGCATTCAAGCTTGGCATTCAAGTAGAATTCTCCTCAGTGACTTTGTTGTTGCACGATATTGTAATATTGAATTGCTACCAACCTAGCCATCAAAAGGCGTATTGTTTAATCGCGGTTGTCTCTAAATAATCATGGTGAACTTGGTTTCCAATTTGCTTGTACATGCGATCTGCAGAAATGTCTGCAGTAAAACTCCTATCGTAAGTCAAACAGTTGTTTACACATGCATTAGCGCCAGAAAATAGAAAAATCTCCCTTGTTGGCCTTATAGGCGATATCTTCCTCAGACACAGTCTGACTTGTTTCAAAATCAATATCAACCAAAAACTGTTAAGTTCTATTTGATTTGAGTCCTTAAACACTCCTTTTCCTGAACTCGAAGAATTTGTCTTTTTTTAAGGTTTAAGCCCTCGTTCTAAGCTAGTTCGTTTCTTTACGTTCTACTGCATGGCTTATACATACACTTATACCCATAAGCTTCATCACCACAAGTTATATATATGATAATTCTATTGTTGATGTTGTTGTTGTTGTTTTTATTTTGCAAGGGATTTTGGTAAAATAGTTATGTCACCATTGTTTTATTGCATTGTTATTAAATATAATCCGGAGTTTGTCTCCAGGACTTTTCAAGGCGTTAAAGCTGGCCCCAAAAACTCAACGTCACATGTCCATGTCCATGCATGAATAGATATTTAAAGTAAATATTTTTTATTTTCTCCCACTAAAAACCCAGTCAAGTAAACGAACATATATACCTGATGAACAAGCTAGCAGGATCGGCCACGCCCTTAATTATATGTATAAAGTCACGCGACCATACGCTTCTGCCATTATTCAAAATCATTCAAATCAATTTTTAGGTACTCTAAACAAGTTATATACGTAAAACCTAAAATCATAAAGTTCCTGGGGGCTTTCAGCCTGGACACTCGTCGAGCTCCACCCTGTCCCTGCATGTATAGCTTAACTCGTTGTCAGTCTTGTTTGTGTATAATGCATGTGTATATACTATATAACATATGCACGGTTTCTTAGGGTGCCTGACATGACGTTTCCTCTGCATACGTATATATACTGTAGTATATAAGACAAAGCTGTTCTTTTTGGCTGATCATGAAGGGCGGCCGCGCTTAACTCTGGTATTCCTGGTGCTAAACGGCGGCCGCGCTTATCTCGGTGTCAAGCGGATGCTCTCTGTACGTAACATTGTCAGGTTTTTTTACTTGGAAGCTTGGGATGTTATTAAAACAAATTGCGTTTACAACAGAGTCAGGGGCATTTTAATTTATTCAACCTTTTTTATTATTATTGCATTAATTAATCCTACAATTGAGTGCATTTCAAAAATATATATATTGCGGTGTGTTTTGTGGTTTCTGCATGATGTACATATACTTTAAACCCATGCTAGTAGATTAAAGGCCCGTTCATATGGCTTTGTAATTGAGTTGGTATCCACAATGTATTACCTGATGATTTGAAAAAATTGAGATTTACTAAAAAATGTTCCCTTCAGTTGGTTATTAATTTAAAGACATATATAGTCTCAGTCTGTATACCTTTCATGTTCACTTTTAATTTGACAAAGAAGATTTTTAAGAAATCCTTATAAGTCTGATCGTATTCCGTTCACTATACCAATAGGAGGACACTATCCGCGGAAATTGTCCGGGGAGACACTATCTGCGGGGTGACACGATTCGTTGTGACACCCAGACCCTAGCCTTATTATCGGAATGATATTGTAGTAATCTGTATTCCGTATAGTCCCAGCGAAAGCTAACAGATTTGTCAACAGAAATTTTTCTTTATGTTTGAACTTTTTTGTACAGTATCAAATTACCGAGTTTAAAGTACAGGTGTATATTTTGTATTGAAGAAAATGTAGAGTGCTTTTACCAGTTCTTCTCTATCAGACTGACTGTACTATTAAAGGTTTATAAAGAAATTTCTTCCATGCGTAAGTCTTTAATCAATATCTGATAGAAGTTTCTGCAACAGTCCCCAGCGAAAACACTCTATTTGAAGAATGTAGTTGTTTGTAGTCTGTTATAGTAGCTAAAATTCAACTTTTAGGTTGGCTTAAATCGGCTAAAGTCGCCTTAATTCACCCCAGAGTAGGCCTTGTGCACGCCGAATGCATGTTTATCATTTCTGCAGGGAGTATCAAGTTTATCATCTTAGCTTCAGATTTCAAATTGATGTTCCTGCATCATGAGTTACCGTTTTTGTGTTTTGAAAGTATTGAACTACCATATACCATTGGGCATTGGACGTATTAATCCCCAAGACAACAGTAAACAAGAATTCTTACGTGAGATTTCACGGAGGATTAAGGCTGATTAAAAGAAAAATCCATCTTCGTTTCTTGGCAGGGAAACCTTGGAGACGAGACGAATGAAAAATGTAACGTTAATCTTCATTACTTACTTATTTTTGAATTTGTTCAAAACGTTTTTCCTTCTTTTTGCCGAAGAAGTCCGTTCTTTAAAAAGATGTTTTCGTAATTCTAATGGATCAGTTGAGTCTGTCGTATCTTTTTGTTCCTGTGCAATGTCTTCCACGAAGAAAAATACTGCATTGCCCGGTATTGTAAGCTATAGTAAAGTGATTATCAATTTTTCATCGTTGTCGAGGGAACAATTTGACATTTTCAAAGAGCACAAACAAATGACAACTAATTTGTCAAAATGTAATTAAGGAACAAAAGGCTTCAAATTTGTCTTGATGGTTTTAGTAGTGCATAACTTAAGAATCCTCTCGATTTCCATGGAAATGTGTCCAGCTATTATCTTTGTAATGCGATGAATAGATCAAATGATTGAAACAAAGAGAAATTTTATTTATATCTTATAAGCAAAAGTATAAGCAAATTTTATTTATATCTTATAAGCAAATTTTATTTATATCTTATAAGCAAAGTATAAAATCTGACTCTGAAATAGTGTCCAAATAACACCGTTTTGTCCCTAAACTATTGTGTCTTGCGTTTCCTGGTTATTATTATACCGTTTCTTATTTTCAGGCGTAAAAATTATTTGCTCGACAAGGATTTTGTTGATTAACCAAACATTCAAATACAATTATATAACTCTCTTTGGCGAATTGCTAGTTCACTGTTCAGTTTACCGCGATGATATTGTAAAGACTCTTCCTACGTTTAGCACTTATGTACTCATATCATATCACGTGTGCGTTAAATAAGTAAAGTAACGGAATATAGGTTCTCGTAAAATACCCATCAGTTGTGCACTTGTGCGGATGACCTCATACCCAGGCTTGACAAGGTTGTGCTGCACCCTAAGAACAAGTTGTCAACAATGTTACAGAATTGTTACAACTGGACAATTCTGTAACAACATTGTTGACAACTTGTTCTGAGGGTACAGCACAACCTTGTTCAAGCCTATCGATATCAACTGGAAAAAGTTGTTCGTTTTTACACGTGTACATAGTTGTGGCATGCAATATAAGTTTTCAAGAATAGAGAACGTGCCCCGCGCATATGAAAAACTAGAGACACAAATTACTTTAATAATAAGAATACTTTATCTTAACCTAACTAGATTGTACTAGTTAACGTGGTGAGCAATTACTTTGTATAGTTTGTTCTTTATACATGGATCTTCATATGAACTGTCCGCGTTAAAAGAATTAAGTGGTTTTTACTTCTATATCAAATTTGTGTTCAGAATGGTGCCCGTCATTTTCTGCCAGCGATCTTAAAGTACATATATATAAACGGAACTGAACCTATCGTTTGTTGTACATAATGTTCCACTATTCGAAGGAAATCATGCGTGCACACCTAAGACAAATAGTCCAAGAGGAAGTGAACGATTCCACATCTGAAATAACGGTTTGATAACGATATATTTATTTGATTATTTTATATGTTTAACTCAAAATACTGCCGGGTTATAAAGAATCCGTCACTATATATTCTATATACACAGCAAAAGTTTGGAAAAGTTTACATTTACTGAAGAGCCTTGCCCACGGCATCTGTGTGTGTGGGCAAAGGAACCAAATAAAAATAATCGCTCATCAAATATCTGCTCCCTTCCTTTGGATATTTGCCAATTTGGTTAAGAAGGTTATCAAATGTCATACAAAAAGATTTAAAATCTAAAAATATTTTGTGAGACAAGCACCTGCATTTTGCAATTTAATGTGTACATGCTAGCTTGTATACAAAAGATTGCGTGTTAGCAGTTATGGTCTGTTTAAATTCCATTTCATTTTTCTGTTTGGATCATGGATGTGTCGTTTTGCATTTGGTTGCACTTAAGCCTTTTGATTGCAGTGTTAGATAAGCAAAATCGATTAATTCAAATTGTTCTTTTATTGGCCTAATTTAATTGCTGAATGACACATGGCGTGTTGCGTGCTGCTTTGTCTTGGAATGAATTGATAAATTTTGAAATTTTCCGATTAATGACCGATTATCATACATGTATTAGATATCAAACGGTATATATATAAAAAGGCAATCTTAAAACTTTTTATTATTTAGTAGAGAGTGAGATACTGAAAAATACACATTGTCATTGAGATATTTTCCATATCTTCACTAGTGAAGTGCGCGAGTGAGTAAAATGTTTTTAACACGAGAAGATAAAAGTCATATTTTCAAGCCACCGTGTAATATCCTCTATATATATCGCTGTGCTCTATAGTCAAGCTAGTCCAGACCCTCTTGGACTAGATTATAGTCAAGCACGAAGCGCAAAAAGTGCGGAATATTCGGCAATGTACATGTGATTGATTAAAGTAGAATCTGGTCAGTGGATCCGATCCGGGAACCAATCACATTGCCGAATTTATTTGAAAATGACAGCCAAAAACTTGAATGTTTATAACAGTAAAGTTGTATTCGTTATCTGCCTCGTCCCCAGGCGCTAATAAAAAAAATTTCATGCGAGTCACTATATGAAAGGTTTGCATGAAGTAGTGCGTCACATTCTAGGCGCGCAAAGGGGAGTGGGATATGAGCGTTATGCCTCAAGCCCATAACCCCCTGCGCTTGTTCATCGCGATGCACTACTTCATGTAAATCTTTCATATAGTGACTCGCATGAAACTTTTAATTAGCGACTGGGGACGAGTCAGATTCGTTATAGTGTCCAAGTCAAGCAAAGGAAGTAATCGTAATATAAGCTACAATCTTGAACATAACTGGTTGAGACTATTTTTCCCACTCACAAAATTCGCATAGCATGGCCAGAAATCTCGGACATAATTTATTCTAATTCCATAAAAATGTACATATCACTTTGAAATATGGCTTTAACTGTAAACAGTAGATTGTACAACTCGATGAGGTAAATCGCAAAATCTAAGAATATGGTAGATCGTTTGCAACTTGCCGAAATCGCTGGTGCTAAATCAAAGTTTGTCGATGTATCTAGTGTAATTTTGGCCAAGTTTAAGTTGCTGTGTTTTTTCTGCTTTTTATTTTATATAGATTTAAATAGACGAATGTAGTTAAAAATTAGCAGGGTCCCCACAACATGCAGCATAACGCCAATTACTGCGGGCCCATTATTTCTGCGTTTTGTGGTTCAAAATTTGCCATTCTTATTAATCCCGGTTCTGATTTAAGAATTTCATACAGATATTAGGGATTCAGTTTATTTAAAAGCACGGCATGGGATGCAAATTTGAGGAGTTATATTCCTCCCCCAAATTGAAAGAAAATTTTAAACAGTGGAGTTTAATTAATACTATATTACTGGAGAAAGCTAATCTACAATGAGAGAAAATAGCCTGGGTACGAGGTTGATCCTACACATTGGCATTCTTTGTTCCCAGAGCCATTTTCACTCGGTCACTCGGTGAAAATTAGGCTCTGAGTTAGACGACTAAAGGAAGAGATCTGATTGACTTCTCAGAGAACTGCTATTTTCCAGAAGTTGAGCAGTTTTTGATAGCCAAATTTATTCTATCAAAATATGTCAACTCAAATACTTCGTTTCTTCGTAATACTTCTCTGTGAAAATTGTTACGGGTGCTAAAGCGTCCAAATTCAAGAGTATGCGCTTTAGAAACTACTGCAAGTTTTCTTTTACTTCCGGTTACGTGATCCTAGAAACCTATGAAGGTCCATCCTCGTTCTCAGGGCTTCTCGGCTGCCTGCGTTGCCGCAACGAGGGGCCCTGGGCCGTGGCCCTTTCTGCAATTTAGACGTTTTCTGGCTCTAACTTAACCCAAAATAGAACAACTTATCTCACCACAAAAATCTACTCAGTTCGAAGCAAATATTGATCACTTAGTAAAACCTTTTTTACAGATAAGTTTAAAGTTTTAATGTATAATACTTGAACGTAGGCTCGCAGCGTACTTGATACCAACTTGTCACGTGAAATCTTTAATTTAAATATGGGTATGCTTTAGCTGAACGACTGTTTGCAATGAACGGATGCCGACAAATGAAATTAAAGAGCACTTCCATTTTAGTGGAAAGCTTCTGTTTATAGCATTGATCACTCCCGACATTTTACACACTGATAGAAGATTCAGTTTATATATAAAAAACGCCCTGGGGTCGGGAAAAAGATATGGCATATTTAAAAAAGCTACAGTTAGTACGAAAATTAACCAATCAAAATCGCGTATTTTAGAGTTAAATAGTGGTTAAAAAGTAGTTATAAGACAAAAATATTCTGCAACCGGCTCATGGTGTCATTGGTGTGTGACTGGTCATATCAGTGGTTACCCTGGTTGCCCCCGGTTGCCAGATGTTTTCGTATCTTTCGCCTTATTCCCGCTCGTATTTAGTTTACGCGAGGCGAAGAGAACCTCTGGTGGCACGCGATACAAATCTCAATACGAGCGGGAATAAGGCGAAAGATACGTCATATCCCAAAGAAAATTAGAAGGAAATTTGTCAGAAATAAAATTTCATTTACAACTAGTGGAAGCACCGTGCCAATAGATTTAATAAGAGCCGAGTTGGATGTTCATCGTTCTTTTCTGGTAGACGATTCCACAAGTTTGATAAATTTAGCGTGAAAATGGTAAATTTCATGATATATTTCTATTTTTGTTGTCCTTTAGTGTATCTTTATTTATTATTGAACTTTTCTTTATTGAACACTGAGTATGTCAAGTCTGTATGTGATGTATCTCGTGACCTAGCTAATTGTTTTTACGTTATTATTAAATACCTAACGAAATGTACCAAACAATCAGACAACTTGTTAACCCATTAAGCTGGATTGCACTCTGATGTACCCTACTTTATTACTTTACTCTGTTTAATTATGCCAGATGATTTTACTGGTGAAACTGTGAAAGTGAGAGCTCTGTCACTCAATGGGTTAATAATTTAATATAGTGTCAAAATATACATTTTTACCATATGTACACAATGTAAAAACTTTCATTGCTAACACGTGGTTTTACATATAACCATGGATTGTAAAATAACTGGATAGGAAACTTCTGACGTCATTGACTGCATCCTTGTTGAAAAACGTGACGTCACACGTATTGCGAATGTTACCAAAGTTCTCGGCATATTTGTTGTTTTGCTATATTTTCCACTTTAAAAGGGTGATCTTGAAGCGTAAACTGGTCTAATTGTTTTAAAAACATGCCTAAGCCACGACAAAGTATTCAAGGTAAATGTTTTTCGTCTTTGTTTTGTATTTTTTTACATTTGTAGCTACGAAATTGGCGTCACAAATTTTAACGAAATTTGTGATGTATTTTTCACTGTTTAGTGCTTGAAATATTTGCTAAAATAATTTGACTGGGAATACTTAGAGTTTTCATCTTTGACTAAAATGTTTAGCTGTATTATTGCTAAACATGCCGTTTTTGAGAATTTGATTTTCAACTAGGTTGAGGCATCCAACCACGCCATCAATCCCAGTAAAAACATTAGGTCACGTCAGCTAGTTTCCAATCCATTTATTTTATTATCCATGATATAACATAAGTATGTTTCCCATGTTTAATGGCCGTTCTAATAGGTTACCTACCTTGCCACACTTTGTTAAGATAGATGCTTGCTACTGTACATGTATTTGGTTACATATCTAATTGTCTATGTGACTGTTTGGCTATACATTGCTACCTGTCTATGTGGTTAAAATGACAGCAGGTGTAAAACATAAAAGTGCTGCATCAGCAGTTCTTTATTTATGTTAAATTATTGAAAAGCTTGTGAACTGTCCGTTCTGTCCCTACCGTCGGTATATTCATGATAAATATAATCTCCTCAAGAATGAGAGAATGTTTGCGTACCATAAATTCTGTTAATTCTGACAGGAGAGTAAAATTTAAATTTTAAAGCACACACATAGTATATGAGAGCAACATCAATAATCCAATGTCAAGGAAATTTAAACCTTTAGCTAGTCCAGTTTTAAAGACATCAACCGCAGGTCCACTCTTCATGCTCAGCAGAGTCTTCACAGCAAACTTTCTCTTATTTTTGAGAAGATTATATTTATCAGTAAAGGTCAAGTACGATGTATACAAACACTAGCAGTACAAGTCGAAGCACCTTTGCTCGAAACATCAAAGTTCTCCTTGTATTTTCATGTAGTTGTATCCCTGTCAATCCAAAGCTTTCGTACATATTTCCCCCAGAATTTTTAGTTATTTTCAATCGATTTCAGTATAAAAAGTATCACATTTTCAACGAGAAATTGTAAATACTTTGTTTATATTTTGCAACAATTGCCGAGCATGCGTAGAACTCACGTTGGAAATCCAACATACTATCTGCCACTAGCCAATCACTGGCCTGAATCAATTCGATTTCTCCAGAGCTATGCCCACCCTTAACCTGCGAACGGGCATGCTCAGGGAACGAGATTGTACATCATCTGATCATAGGCATTGAGAGCAATGTTTGGAAACACATGTACTATTGCAAACAAAACTGTCGTCATTCACAATATGCATTCTTGATTATTCTAGACCTAGCCCTTACTTGATGTACTTACAGCAGGCGGCACTTGATTTGCAAGTTAATTGACTTCATTGCCAGTCTTTTCACATGAAAAAAACAGTGGTTTAATGGGCTGAACTGCCTGAACATCCATGAGATAGCTATATACAGTAACAACCCAATGAAACCTAACCCTGAAACTTAAAAAGGAATAACGTTTCACTCTTTTTAAATGAAATAGTTTTAACCCCCAAACACTACAGTATGTCTACAAAATGAAAACCTGTTGAATTTTGTTGCTGATTACAGCAAGAAATACTAGTCTTCAATGTTGAAGTATCCAGCCAAAACTAATCCCATAACTTGCAATTTTTTATGTTAAATTATTTTTTGTTTCAGTAATCTGCTCTGATAACAGATTTTTGACATTGTCATTAAATGTGTGTGTCTTTGATGTCATTTATATTTGGCAAAAACAGCCAGCAGCCTGCTATGAGAATTACTTGTAGAACAACTTAGCCATTGTTATATATATAATCAACCCACCCTGTAACTGGAAAGGAAATGTTTCTTGTGCAGCTATAAAATTATAAAATATTATTCCCCAATAACAAAGTTATGAAATGATTATTAATTCATTTAGCTGTACAGTTTTCAGTTTCCAAAAAAATAGTATGATCTCTCCATATTGAACAATAGGGATGAACAGAAGCTTGGTTCCGGTCAGTTATAGTGCAGCAGTGCCAGACAGAACCCTTACAGTTCCATGCAGAACTTATCAAAGCATTGCCGGAACTGGAACTCAGTCTTCATTAGGAAGAACGAAGACGATTATCCAGTTCATTCAATGGTGAACATTAACCAATTATTTAAGCAGATCATATTACATACTGACGCATTTTAATTACATTACAATAATTACAATACAACCATAGACATACTAGCTGTATATTCCAACCTTTTAGGGTTAACATCAGAAAAAGTAACATATACTGTAACCATTAACAGTTAAATAGACTCATTTCCAGCCGGAAGTTCCTGCAGATTTTTTCTCCAGGTCTGATCAGTGCTTCTTAAATTTGTGAACTTGTTCTACTGTATGATGGTAGAAATAAAAGAAGCAGAATAACAACAAAAAATAGCTAGCGCAAAAATTACTTGTGTGATCGACTCATACATTAGTTCATGTCCTTTGATACCAATAGATATAAACATACAAACAATTTCTTCAAGTAATAACGATTTAGATACTTGTAATGTCAAAATGTGTACCTTCCCCAAATTTTAATGTCAAAAATATCCCACCAGTTGAGTGTTATTAATTGTTTTATGATTTTTAGGCTGCCAATTTAGTTCAAGGGATAGATAGGATTGCAGGTCAACTTGGATATTTAGTAGTTAACTCAGAGGGAGCTGTTATGGCTGTGAGTTGCTAGTTACTTTCTTAAATACTATAAATTTATAAATTGCTAAATGTATTTCTCATTTGTCCAGACCTTGCATGTTTTGGCTCCCAACTATTCATGCATATGCTTTCCACTCCATTTAATATATACAAATAATGAATATTTATTCGTGCAATGGTAAGAATATTTTCATTCGGTGAAAGATGGAATGTTCCATTCAACTCGGCTGTCGCCTCGTTGAATGGAACATTCCATCTTTCACCGATTGCCATTGCGTCAATTACCATTGCGGGAATAAACATTCATTATTTGTTTTATATAATAACAAAATAGACTAATATATAGATTCGTATGAGAAGCATTTTGACGGATGCGATTTATCGAAAACACAAAGAGTGCAATGGAATAAAACGTATATAGTACAATTACACTCGCAAACAGTGTAATGGAACGTATTCCATTGCACTCTTGGGAAATGGAATTTTCTATTCAATATCACGTGACCATAAATAGCCAATTAAACTATCAGAATTCAATAAGGTATTATATAATCCCCATTTTATATGCTTTCCACTCCATTTAATATTATTTGAAAGAGTATTAACCATTGCGAACCAGCGCTCTCCCCTTGATTAGCAAGATCATCTGGCAGACAAAATAAAACAATAAAGATTAGTCAGAGTCAAATAATAAAATAGGGCACATGGGGACGCGTTGCGCATTATTAAAGGGTTAACTAACATACAGTATGCAGTTGAAGCTTCTCACTAAAACATTCATACAATTATATTAAATAGTTTATAATTATTCATATAGTGGTATGCCAATCTGGAAAGGATAGCACAGGGCTCCATCCCAATTTGATTAATTTTCAGTTCGACCTGCCAAACTGTGGTTAAACATCATTCTATATAGAATTAGAAGTAGAATAATGTATTCGCTTGAAAACTAGTATTTTAACTAAGATTTTAATTAAGCCACCCAGTGCCTGCAGTAGTACTGTAGAATGGCCGCCGTAGAAGAGTGTGGCACTTTGATAATGAGATGGGGAGGATGAAAAGCTTTATTACAGTATAATAATTATGGCTCAACCGAACAAACAGTGCCACTAATAAATATAGCCACTGACACAAGGTAGATACCCCAAACTGCCATTATTAAATGGCATTAAGCCTAATTAGAGAATGCGTGATTACTACGAACTTAGGCATAACTAGCTTACTAGCCCATGGATACAGATGAAACTAATGGTGTATATATAAACACGTTATTCCCACAAGTATAATCAAATGGATAGAAAGACAGTGCTACTGCATGTCGTTAACTACTGTACCTTTACTAATCTAATAAGTACTTTTTACAGCGCACCTTGCTTCTGCTCGAGATTAAGCATTTATATATCAGTGCTGTTAAGTAATTATTTAATGCTATATAAATTAATCTTTCTTGTAATGCTATATAAATTGAACTTTCTTGTAACAGTTTAGAGCATACAGTCACTCTCAGTCATTCTTCATAGCAAGAACAAGGGAGTACTTTTTACTCTTCTACTACTTCATGTAAATTGCTGATAGCCTGATGATCTAGCCGTTTGTCCTATTAGGCCTCAGATTGGGACTATTTGGGGGTTGATGCAATAAAATTTGATTACATAAAATTGTATTTGTCCTGATGGATGCAGTTCCTTACAGTGATGATCAAAGGCATAATTGGTATTGTAGCTTATTTGAAAAAAAACGTTTCTTAATATTAAATTAATTTCCACTTTCATGTAGTCAGGAGGAGATCTGGAGAATGAAGAGAATATTGCAAGTATAATTGTGAAAATGTTGCAGTATGCTACTAAAGTTCCATTGTCTGCAGATGATAGCCAGAACTGTAAGAGGATTTCAGGTATTGATAAAACAGACCCAACTATTTTGAAAGGGTGCTGATGTTTCTGGCACTGCAAATTATATCAAAACGCCCTAAATGTAAAAATAATAGGTTGATTATTGAAAGGCCTATACAGTAGAATATCTAACCAGGAGAAACTGTTAAAAATGCAACTATAGCTTGCGATAGGAAGCAAACCAATGTCTTTGTCTGATAGACCAATCAGGTGAAAAACCGGATTTTGCCTTTTTTTACATGCGCCCGGCCAGTCAGGGATTTGAAGGCCCTCTTCCCTTCCATCCACACGCACTTATGGAAGGGAAATTATGGCCTGATACTCAGACTAGATTTTGGGTAACTTACTCGATAATTGAATTGTTGAAGGATTTAACGTTTTGTAGACGGAAAAGTGTAAACTGACTATTTGATTATTTCATTTAATGCAAACAAATAATGAAAGCGAGGGCGAAGCCCGGGCAGGAAATAGAAAATGCCGTGAATTTGCTGTTTGTTAGCAAAAGAGATGGAAAACACTGTTAAATGTTCATTAAAAGTAATGTAGTAATACTGCAAAATGTGGTGCAGGGTGCTGCATTGGGGGGGGGGGGGACACCATGTATATAGAAAGTACAGTAAGGTTATTGTTACAGTACTTCTAGTTAAAATACAGTACTGTATGTACTCACTCTGTAAGTGTTAGTGTTATATACATCTGTATTTATGTATTTATTTCAGTTGTCTACCATGACTTCACCTTACTGGCAACAGTTTCTAATCAAAAAGTGTATATTATCAAGAAAGAGAATGAAGGATCGTAAAGTGGAACAGGAAAATTTTAATGCAGAATTTAGCGAGTGGATAAGTGAACTTCATAATTGTCATTCGTAATATACAATAAAAAGTAAATATGGTAGTAACAAGATTGGAAACAGGGATGCGTGCAATAAAGTTTTATGCAATGTGTGCTTTATCGCGTGCATGATACAGTGTAATCGTATCATTTCACTGTTATAGCTTATAAATATGACGCAATTAGCAGAGATGTCCTGCATGAATAAAAACCTATCGGCGGTTCTACTGTAAGTTTCTCTCTTGTGAATACATGTTTGATAAGATTACATTTTGTAATAATAAAAGAATAGGCCTAATTATTATAGAATAAACTTTATATAGTCTGTAAAATACTTCTTTTTGTGCTTACTGGCTGTCATCTTCATCAATCTTCATGAAAGTTATGTAAGAAACGTTGTTTCAAACCTCAGCAGTGTTGCTGCAAGATTGTTCTCTCACTGGATTTTCGCAAACGGCAAACGTGTTCGAACAACTCGTTATTGTTCTACAATTCAACAACTTTTAACAAATTGTTAGCGACGATCTTCTATCAACTTGACAAAAACAGAATTGTTCAACTTGTTCACAAACCTGCTGAGAAAACGTCCTTGTTGACAAGGTAATGTTGACAAAATGAAATATTTTTACGCATATGCACTGCAGTTATACCAAGAGAACAAGTTTTGATGTCAACTCGAAATAAAAACGCATGCAGTACGTTGAAGTGTATAGGCTACACATTGGCATGACAATTGTAAAAATCTCGCAAAATAAAATCAATCTTGCAAGTTTATTACATTTTTGATTTACAAGTAACATAACGTCATAAGATTTACACTGTATAAGTAACAAATGCATGCACTAACAAGTATAAAGACATGCTTTAATTAAACATCTTCTGATTAAACGATAACGTTTCTCAAAGTTAGATCATCACCACTTATAATTATCAATATCAAATCAATGCAAAATAAATCACACAGAATATTCCTGGCACAGAAGAAGGAGGAGTAGTAAGAATGGACCACAATCTCAGCTAATCTTGGTAACTGTTGCTCCGATAGAAAATCGGTTAGTCTGTTCGCCATCACCCCAGCCAACTACAGCAACATAAAGATCTCTGAGAGATCCTGTTCGAGTCGCAAGTGTGACAACGTTGATGGCAATACCTCGAGGATCTGAGTATTTAGCATCACCTGGTGTGCAGCCAATGGTGGGGTCAACTGGAGGCTCGCAAACATAGGTGGCCATTGCCGAGACTGAGTCGAGTGCACTGACGACGATATCCACGTTGTATCTACAGAAGAATATTAACAGCTTAGTCTCATAATTACCTGCATCCAAGGTTAGACTTGGGCTCAGATTCCAGCCGGAGAACCCAACGGCTGGAATCTGAGCCTAGGTTAGACTCGAGGCTCGCGGATATATGTATAGCCATTGCTGAAACTGAGTCAACTGCTGCGATTACGATGTCCATGGCTACTTCTTGTCTTTGTAGTTTGTAGGAACTTAAACTGATTCCAATCTGAACTTTCATGACTCTAATGACACTACACTATAGGGAAGACATGCACATATGAAGGATTGGCGTTAATACTGTGACTAATATCAAGTGCTGTACAGTTTATACTATATATCAATGAGCACATTGTATTTATAGAGAAAAGTAAAGAAGACGAATTCATAGAGTCCGCTATTGGTAGTTGGAGGCAACAAACCATGCAAGCATAAAGCCCAGGTCACACAGCACAACGATAACGATACGATAACTTGTATACGCGCGCTGATTGGTCAGAAATTTATCGTTATCGTCCGACTGAAAAAAAAATCGCTCAGGTGAGCGATTTTAAAATCGTTATCGTCAAACGATAATTTTATCATTTTCGTTGTATTGTGGAGACTAACACAATTTTTTTTCCAATTATCGCGTGTTTACAATTTACATTATCGTTGTGTAGGGTGCATGACCGGGCCTTAAAATTTAAAATTGAGTGTATAAAGGCTGCTATGTCAACTTTGATCTAGAGAGGATTTTCATACACAGCAACAAGACTTAAATCAGTCTTCAAATATCTGACATCTTAACTACTGGGAGAGCCAGAAACCCTAAGCTAGGGACCGCGACACGAGATTAGTATAAATATGAAGTCTCCAGTCAATGTCAATAATTTGTAACACCCACCTTAGAGTTGTTCCAGCGTCAGGACAAAATGCCAGCCTGAAGTCTTGTCGGTTCAATGTTGTCACTGAATGCCTACTTCCAGAGGGTACGACCTGTTGCAGAATTTTCACACCTGCACGAGTGACCAGGTTTATCGGTATAGGTTCAGGAAATTCACGCAGTCGGTAATACCAAAAATGTTTGTTTGGCTTTTCAACATACTGATCTTTAGGGAGGAACTCCATAGCAACCGTCCAGGCAATGTACGGAGCGTTACCAGCAGTTACAGAAACATACATGGCGGTCAATGATGTGTTGTAAGCGATTGTGCAGTTATGTTGACCATTGAACTTTCCTCCAGGGTAATTTGTACACAGAACCTTACTGCAGTCTGAGGTGGTACAAACCTAAATGTGGTTGAAATATAAGAAACCCAATTATGTTGACAATTGAATTTAAAACAACTATAACAATAGGAAAGTGTGGCGTTCAAATGGAGTCAAAACACTTGCTGCTGCATATCCCGGAAACACAAGTTACAAGGCCCCCGGTTTAACCTACCCGATTGAGACATGTATTTTATATGAAGATTTTCCCCAGTGGTTATAACCTCAGTATAGCAGGAAACCTGAACCGGAGAAAACCTGGGGATGGTTGGTATATCAGACCAGGCCGGAGAAATTCAAGGGGATCCTGAGATCCTGCATTCGATGAACACGTGCCTTTCGAACAAGAATGGGGAACATTTTCAATTTCACAGACCTACTATGTGGATTAATCCTCAGTCTCAGATAATATAAAGTAATTATAGATGTTGCACATGAATACACGTGTTGTGTACTTTAGAATCTCGTACCCAGAGCATGCCCGTACGCAGGTTAAGGCGTGGTCTCTTGAGACGCACTTTTGAGAAACATTTGACAATGACAAATCCAAGATCAATGACTATTATATTCTAACCTGCAATTTTGCAACCAATCCAATATTTGGATTCCATCCAGACGGAATATTGACACGTGTGATGACCATCATGTTTTTGTAGATGGTTGTGTTACATATGTTGGCTTGATAGGCAACTTCCTGCAGGGCGCTTGGACGCTCGACGTCACTCGTGACGTATAAGGTCGGGATGAATATCACTGGATGTTCTTGAGCCCACGAGCCAGTTATTGCCATCAGCACTATATAAAGTCATTAATGTTTTATTTATACTGATCTATTTTAAAATCCTTGAAAATGATAATTCATATAGCCAGTGTGTTTTCATGATCTGTAAGGTGCCAGTTCTTTTATATTTGGAGTCATAATATATAATTATCTAGCATCAAAAGTGCGATTTGAAAGTTGTGACGAGAGGGGCCTTCTTTATACTCCAGTTTAAGCATCCGTTAAAGGGACAGATTTTCTGTTCCTATTTTAACGTTCAAAACTTTCACTGTCATCCAACCTCGGTCCTACTCTTTCCTCTGCACTTTTACCTACGCTCTTATCTCCGTATAGAGGGAAGACCCTGGGAACGAAATTGGCTGTTAACTCTTGTAATGCATCAGTCTGAATGTCTTCAATGACCCTCTTCAATAAATTTATGAAAACCGTAAAGTGTACACGTTCGTTTATATTGGGATCAGTGGCGGAAATCTTGGGGGGGCTGGGG